GTACTTTCTCTCTTTTTTTTTTTTTTTTTTTTAGATATTTTTGTTTTGTTTTTGTTACTTAAATAAAATCTGTTATTTCTTTATTTAATCTGGTTATTTATTTCTTGGTTTTCAGGCAGAAATGTGCATAATTAGGATTGAATCTAAATTGTAATTTGGTTTAGCACTACTACGTTGTTTGGAGCACATAATGGTAATATTCCATATGGTATATTTAAACTCGATACAAGTTTCTGTAGCATACCTGGATGAAGATGACAAGCTTGAATCTGACGTTCCATTCTGCTAAAAATTACTGCTACTGGTATAAGATCCATTACACAAGTCATTTTGTGATGTGTTATAACACCTATAGAGCTGTGATTTGCTGAAGGTAGCCATTGTTATGTCTTAACTGTATGGCTTCAAATGCATTGTGGTGTCACCATCCTATTATGATCATTATATGTTTAAATGCAGGTCAAGCTATGCTCCTGACACAAAATTTCAACAAAAAGCAATAATGCTAATTAAGGATTTGCAAACCCTAACACTTATACAATGTACACGTCTTTGTATGATCAATGAATACACTTATACAATGTACACGTCTTTGTATGATCAATGAATACACTTATACAATGTACACGTCTTTGTATGATCAATGAATACACTTATACAATGTACACGTCTTTGTATGATCAATGAATACACTTATACAATGTACACGTCTTTGTATGATCAATGAATACACTTATACAATGTACACGTCTTTGTATGATCAATGAATACACTTATACAATGTACATGTCTTTGTATGATCAATGTATACACTTATACAAATTACACGTCTTTGTATGATCAATGAATACACTTATACAATGTACACGTCTTTGTATGATCAATGAATACACTTATACAATGTACACGTCTTTGTATGATCAATGAATACACTTATACAATGTACACGTCTTTGTATGATCAATGAATACACTTATACAATGTACACGTCTTTGTATGATCAATGAATACACTTATACAATGTACACGTCTTTGTATGATCAATGTATACACTTATACAATGTACACGTCTTTGTATGATCAATGAATACACTTATACAATGTACACGTCTTTGTATGATCAATGAATACACTTATACAATGTACACGTCTTTGTATGATCAATGAATACACTTATACAATGTACACGTCTTTGTATGATCACTGTATACACTTATACAATGTACACGTCTTTGTATGATCAATGAATACACTTATACAATGTACACGTCTTTGTATGATCAATGTATACACTTATACAATGTACATGTCTTTGTATGATCAATGAATACACTTATACAATGTACACGTCTTTGTATGATCAATGAATACACTTATACAATGTACACGTCTTTGTATGATCAATGTATACACTTATACAATGTACACGTCTTTGTATGATCACTGTATACACTTATACAATGTACACGTCTTTGTATGATCAATGGACACAAAATTTTAAAAAAAACGGCAATAACTGAATTGAATATAATACTACACATTGCCTGGTATCATCAATGTATACACGTTTTTTTGGTTATGCTGCAGACCAAAAAAGGATAAGACAGAGAGACAGACGTACACACAAAGCTGTGACTATGTTCCCCAAAAAATTTTCAGGGAGTGTGAAAAAATTCAGAAAAATCACTGAACAATGCAATTTACATTGATATTTTATTTCCAAGTACCTTTAGAGAACAAAGGCAACATGCCCTGACCTTTATACTGCATCAACATCTGTCACAATGTTGCTAATAGTTTGAGGGTGACCTAATGTAATCCCATTTTGACCGGTGTTGTGTGTTGTGTAGTAAAATTTGAACAGTGTTTCAGTTAACCTTACACCGACAATGATGCGTCTAACACATTCCAAGGAGGAAAATCTCACACCATCTCCACAACAAGAAAATGAAGTACAGCAATGGCATGACTAATTTTTTTGTTTCGGTTTGTGTCAACATCAGGGGGAAAAAAGATTTCTTTTGGTTGTATAAACAGTATTGACCGAGATTGACTTAAGTTATTGTTAGTCACCAGGTCACTGACATTCATGGGTTCACTGGGTGACAAGAAATCGTCACAGGGATGGAAAAACTTGAACCAGTCATTAAAACTGGAAAGATATAGAATTTACAATAACAAAAATATAACATACCAGCAAAATCTTCAAAAAACAGTTTTACAAAAAATATTTAATACTTTCATTTCATTCCATGTTGTCATTATGTGCCATCTGACTATTTTTAAATAATTGTAAAATAAAATTATTTTGAAAGATTTGGGTAGCAAAGCCCATGCCATTCATTCAATTAAGCTTTGGTAGGAATATTTTTTTAATTTATGCTGGTATGAAAGAATAACCTTATAGCAAACTGAATCCAAATACAGTTACTAAAGCACACTATGATGTTGGCCTGTACAAAACCAGGATCAAATCAAAGGTATTTGAGGAAGGAGTGAAATTACAGGAAAGCCCTCACCTATGAGAGAGGCCAATGCAAACGAAACTGCAAGATTTCTAACTACACGCAGCCCATAAAAACGTTACTAGTTACTTGACAACGCACAATTTTACAGGAAGTATTAATTGTCGCAGCATTAATGCCTTGTACTTGATATGGTGTAGAAAATGCAGTATACAATATGCCGGTGAAATCTCAACGATGATGAACACATCAGAATCACCTATACTCTATTATAAACTAGGACCTAGACAAACTGGTGGCAAAACACTTCAGCACATCAGGTCACAGTATCTATGGCTTTATGGTAATTGGCTTAATGATCAGTGTACACATTGTCAACTGACAGCTCCATTTGGACAACAGCTACAATTTAATTTTGAAGACATCCGGTGGGGGGTTTAATGTATTGATGTATAAATGGTAAACACGGAGGAAATGCTGTATAATGGATCCATGCAGAGAATACAAGGTATTCTTTGCTGGAAGACCACGCAAGTTTGAAGAGGAGGATCCTCACTAAGTCCTAGCTGGTAGTGGAACAAACTATAAAGATGCTTAAGTAATTTGACGATACTTCAGAAGCATAGGCAACAACACTTAATACATTAGTGGAGGAAAAGGGAGTGAAACCAGAGACTACAGAATGTATAATTACTTGTCAGAATCTATGTCTACAATTTGCCTTGACAAACTGCAATATGTGTGAGGCTAAGCATTATGCTATGGTGTTATATGAACTCAATAACCGTGGTGGAGAGGTATTGGGTAATGATAGTAATAGTGGAATACGGTTACAGAATAAAGAAATAAGTGATTTTTGAGTTATCACGCTTGTGACAGTACACCATAGTATTATATCCATTATTTATTGAATACAGTGCATTTTATGTACTTTAGGGGTATACACTTCTGAGTTTGTCCTCCTGATAAATCCAAGAGAGGGCAAAACCAGTTGACAGTTACAAATAAATATAAAGAACCTACATTGTTGTGATTAATACTCCTTAACTGATGAAATTTTTTTATCACCATTACCAAGTTATATTTGTGCATATCGTGTTTTTGTTTCTGTCATGTTATTGTTGATGGAACCAAATTTTACTGTAATATGTTAACATGTTCTCTAACCATCAGGAATGTGTCCATCAATGACACCTATAATTTGTATAGCCAACTGCAAATTCACCACAGGCAAACTCACCCTCCATGTATTTCAGCTGGGTGAAACTTGATGAGTAACAAATACAAAAGCTAGTAAAAAGGCCATTAAATGCCAGCACTTCGTTATGAATACAAAAATGAATACAGAGGTAAAATGTTCTTTATCTATTAAAATGTGTGTAAAATGGAAAATTGGTAACCAATAAACATCACGTCAAAATGCTTTTAAATTAATTGATTACATAATTATTTATTTTGACACCAAATGACAATTGTCTTTTCCAAATGTCAAAGGAACTATAATAAATAATTTACATGCAAAGAAAACATTAAGGAAAAGACTTAAGATTATAATACAAAAGTCACGCAGTGAGTAAAACATTTATGTGCTCTGATCATGCCAGACAACTTGCAATAATGATACTTGCTTTCATGTTAAAATCCTTTCCAAATTACTTCAAACAAAGTTAACAAGATATTTATTTTTTGTGACTGTTTGAAATCAGTAATGCTGAATGACTTGAAACAGTTGAGAACAATATGGAAGATTACAATTCACACCTCGTAATAAACCCACTCATATCTATGAAACTCCGGTAAACGTTTAATAAATGTCCCGTAATAACCCCATCTCTACAGTGAAGAATTTGATATTAACCTGTTGGGATTATTATGAGATAAGGAAGTAGATATTGTTCAAGGAAATTGTTGCAGGTTTACATCCAGGTGATTAAGCCAGACATAAAATTAATATAAACAGTTCTCCTGTGTACCTGTTACTGTACACAGGTCTAGTTTTTCAGTGCTCAGAGCAGCTGTTAAAAACCTGTTGAATCAGAGATCTTACACATGTTTTGTAAAGATCTTACAAAACAATCACCTGATATCTTTGGCTTCTAATTTCTTTAAGTATGGACAAGATCAGCTCCCCAGAAGCCAAAGATACCATGCGATTGTTTTATAAGAACTTTACAAAACATGTGTGAGAGATGTACATGCTATGGCAGCCACTTTACTACTTCAATTAATGACATGAAAAACAGTCATATTAATTCATAAATATCCTCCTTTCTATATGTATCTGACCAGCTTAAAAAAGCCTCAAAATATTCTCACTTTCATGATGAATGGCCCTGGCCTGGTGATGCATCAATGCATCGTGAGTGATTCAAAATTTAAAACTTGTCATACTAAAACATTTTTATGACAAAGTAGAATGGTGAATTTTTTTGAATAGACAATTTTCTACAGATAAATATTAAAGCGAATATTTTGTTTCACAAGGAAATACAGCCTCCCTCCCTCCCTTCCCAAATGGATAAAAAATGGATATGAGACAAAAAAATTAGTTCCAACTTCTCACACAGGTTCTTGATTGTACATGTGTATGATTACAGGCATACACATTCATAAGTCTTGGGGAAGTCGCTGTTAAAACAGTCATATATACACCTACCTTCACACTGAAAGTGAAATAAAATAAGTTCTCACACACACATGTTCACAGACAGAATCTTAACACATTCTATCAGGATTTAAGAAAATCACTACAGGTAACAAGTTCACAGGCACTGTTATAATCCAAAATGTCTTTCAGGAAATTTCTGAACTGTCTCAAGTTGCTTTGGTCTTCACGGGAGTTGCGCACATATCGTTTTGAACGCACCAACTTGTCCGCAAGATAGTGTAACCACATGATGTTTGTACGAGGATGGAATGGTTCCCAATTATTACTGAAAAAATCACAGTAGAATTAAATGTACAATGCATCTCACAACACTGGTTCTGCACATAAAATGTGTTTGTACATCTGATACAAGAAAACAATGGAGTTCTCTACCTTGATATACCTAAACTAAATAAGGTATGAGCTTTTGAATACAAATGAAAGTCATCAGTACAATAAAGGCAATTACAATGAATATTGTTGATGAATTTGACTTGGTGATGATTTTGTCCCATTAATTTCTAAGTCAAACAATATTATCCCCATTTTATGCTTGGAGCAAAGGTCATAACATTAACAGGACTCCATTGCATGATATTTCCTTTCTAAAATAATTGTAAATACAAACTTGTACGAAATTAACAGTATATAAAGATGTCTCAAAATGGTTTCTAAAATCTATTTTTTACTTTATATATTAATTGGTAGCCCTATTTCAATTGGTTCACAATGGTATCTAAAGATTTGTCGTCTAACACTCAAAGATACTCCCCTTTTTCTTTCAGATTTGTACAAGATGAAATGCTGAGGTAATATAGCACTACATGAGACTACTAACCCATTGTTTTCCTTCATTTGTCTGTAGATATCAAACTGCAGATCCCCTGAGCCATCAAACAGAGTCTCGTCGGTGGAAAGGTCATTGTACACAACACAGCCATCTAATAATAAGTACAATACATGCTATGTTAACAGTATGTAAAGTTACCATCAAGTATGGTTAGACTAGGAAATATCTGTTAGACATGAAAATGTAAAAACTATTCTTTCTGCTGTAGGACTGAATCAGTGGTGAAGTTAGCAGATAAAGTCTCTTCGACTGTTGAGATATGACCCATAAACACAAAATTCAAATGCATATCCAAGTGATTTTGATGTGGACACAGAGAGGAATGAATTAGGAGTGTCAGGGGCAAAAGCCCCCTACTCAGGAGCAAAAGCCACAGTTGGGGGGTCTCCTCCCCTACCTCTTCAAAAAGTTAGAGAGAAATTTAGATATTTTTTGCAAATAATTTTCTTTGTTTTGGGACAAAGTGTACACAGTAACATATTTGCATAAAGGCAAGTATGTACCTGAATGATGCCTCAAAACAGAATCAGTGTGTAATTCTTAAGATAACTTAAAGTGTTGAAATTACTATCAAGTATGAAATACTTTGTAATGTGGGTGACTTTTGTTGGAATTCTTTAAATTTTGAGATATATCCAGATGTCGATTTTTCATATTTGCATAAAGGCAAGTATGTGTCTGAAATATGCCTTAGAACATGTAGATTTACTGTGCAATTCTGAAGACAACTTAAAGTTTTGAAATCACCAGCAAGTATGCAAAAACACTTCGCAATGTGAATGACATGATGAAGTAATGAAGATTTTGAGACATACCCAGATGTCAAATTTTCATATATCCTGAATTATTACACAGGAAATATCAACCTGAATCAGATTTCAGCAACAGCTGTAAATATTTGTGTAGTATATTCAGCACGTAACGCTGTTAAAGAGTAATACTAGAAGTTATCCCATTGATTCGAAACTTTATCATGAATTCTTACATAGAACATACCGTAGTGATTTAACTGAATAAATCAAGTTTGCAGTTAAGTTAAATTCAGCACTCCTGATCTGCAGCTGCTGACAGACTGGTCGAAATCTTTGCATAGACAACCTGAGTAAATGAGACAACACTTCACCCTTTGAGAAGGTATACTTCACTACATCCTGACCAACCTTACCTTTCCTAAGTCTAGACAGAGTGAAGTCTTTGAGACAAGTTTCCACCCTGTGGAAGGGTATACTTCACTACATCCTGACCAACTTTACCTTTCCTAAGTCTAGACAGAGTGAAGTCTATGAGACATGTCTCCACCCTGTGGGAGGGTATACTGTAGTCCTTTCCCATCAAACGATAGTGAATCTCCGGTGCCTCAGTCCTCTTTACCAAAACATTACCCCAATGCAAGTCCCTGTGTTCAAACTCCAGTGTCTCTTCTGCAACTGCTAATGAAAATGCCACTTGGGCGAGGGCACTTTTTGCCTCAGAGATGTTCTGGAACTGAGTAAAAATTGACATCTGTGATAACCTGGATACAATATAGAGCAGTATCACACAGCAAATCTTTGAAGCTAACCTCCACTTATTACTTTATATATGTATAAATATTGTGAATAAAAGAGAAAATCTCATCTGATATCATGCAAACTCTTACTATCTAATAATTAAAAGCTACAAAAGGATTAATTACCTGTAAATAATAATGCTGTTTTCTTCCTCTCACAAACAAACCATGGTTTTGTCTGTGACTATTACCTGACTTGACTTAATCTCTCTTCTACACAATAACCATGGTTTTGTCTGTGACTATTACCTGACTTGACTTAATCTCTCTTCTACACCAAAACCATGGTTTTGTTAGTGGCTATTACCTCGAATGACCAAGTCTCTCTTCTACACCAAAACCATGGTTTTGTTAGTGGTTATCACCTCCAATGACACACAAAAACCATGTCTCTCTTGTCTCTCTCTTTCACACAAAAACCATGGTTTTGTCTGTGACTATTACCTGGCATGATCAAGTCTCTCTTCCACACAATAACCATGGTTTTGTCTGTGACTATTACCTGGCATGATCACACAATAACCATGGTCTCTCTATTACACACAACACAACCATGGTTTTGTTTGTGACTATTACCTCGAATGACGAAGTCTCTCTCTTCCACACAATAACCATGGTTTTGTCTATGACTATTACTTGGTATGATTAAGTCTCTTCCTTGTGACAACTACCATAATTTTATCCATTACTATTACCTGACAAGACTCTAAGTCCCGGCCACCATCAGCAAACTCAAACACAATGAATAGCTGGTCATCATCAAACACATCTAGAACAGGACAAAGACATTTATGATATATTTGTAAATCGATTAAACCTTAACGGTAAACCATCTAATAAAAATGATGAGAATATGAAATAAAGACTTTACAGACAATTCAAGCATTGTCCCTAAATTAATACTAAAAGTAGACAGCATCATTATCATTATTATTCTATTATTAAAATGTATCTCCTGGGCACATTATGAACTTCACATCCATGTATAATGTTGTATCACAGAGGTCAATGAGAAAAACTAAAAATAAAGATTAGTTGAAAATAAAGCAATTTCCTTATGACTTAAAATAATCTGTCACACAAAAAGAGATAGGTGATCTCCCCTTGGAAGCTGAAGTTCATATTTCCAAATCATACTGAGGTTGGTTTTCTTGGCTTAGCAAAAGTAGCCTAGGCATCTTTAAATTCAGATACTGTTTTTACCATAATTAAAGTCTACCTCCCTATAATGTAAGCATCCATTTCTCTCCCTGCAGAGGCATTACTAGTTTAAAAAAAGTTACTGTAAGCCACGACTTCTAACCTATTCTATTACATACATTTTAATCCTAACATGCAGTCAGCATGAAATCCGACACATGCCAATATTTTCATATGCAATTGGCAGGGTGGATTTCAGCCTCAATCATACACCAAAAGTAATTTCATTCTCTAAACACAATTAAGTTACATCACTTCCTACAATTCTTCTACCTTGTTTCCAGTGTGAACAAAAAAGCATCTACATGAACAAGTAAGAATTTGCAACAAATGTTAGCAGGCAATATTTGCACCTATTTAAAATAGTTTGTGATATAAATTGTAACATTAAAGGTTTTCCAGACTATTTTCAACTAGAAGAAGTAACCAAGATGCCATTAATCCTGCGATATGATAATATAGAACACCAAATATGCTGTGAATTTTATATCACTGTGAGTGACTGGGTAGACCAGGAGATAACTTAGTTACAGAGAAGTGTTGCAATAATTCAACAAAAGATATGGATGTTTTCTACTTACGGACTTTATAAAGTGAATTTCTTTGTTCAAGACTCATGTTCTATTATCCTAATAAGTGCTTCCATTGAAACCAGTTTTAAAACTTCCCTGGGCACTATTTTGGCAAATATAATATACCAAAGTACCTGGTTTATCATTCTGTGACTGGCATTTTTTATCAAATACTTCCCACTCCTTCAGTAGTTTGGCAGGGTATCGCCCCTGTACACATGACACTCTGAAACAGATAAGGTACATTTACCACAAAATTCAGGGGCATATAAAATATTCAAAGTAGTAATTATAATCACAACCTCCCATCCCTACACACACACATTATAAATATGCCAGCAGAAAAAAAAGTTAGTAATTGATGAATAGCACAGTTTCGGCTGGCACCTAGCTCTTAATTGATAAAACACAAAATTCAACAGTAGGTTTTTTTTTTTTCTAGTATCTGTTCAGAAAATAAGTGGGTATGAATATGGAAGTTCACTGGAGTTGTCAGATCAATGTCAAACAAGAATTAAGTCTCCCACTTTGTTAGTATAGTAATTGTTAATTAAAATGCAAAATACTCTGGAATTCATGTCACACAACCAAATCCGCCAATAAATGTCAAATTTCCAAGTAAATTTAAGATTTATAGTATGTTCACACCAGTGACATGTTGCTGTCTGTTTAAATATGATGAATTTTGCAAAATTCTTCAATTGTCAAAATCCACTCAAATTTATCCAGAGGAGAGAAAAAATAATTCCTAGGAGGGGAAAAAACTTCCATAGAAGAGAAAAGTACATCCATAGGAGGGGGTAAATACATCTCTAGAAGGGGGTAAATACATCCCTAGGAGGGGGTAAATACATCCCAAGGAGGGGGTAAATACATCCCTAGGAGTAGGTAAATACATCCCTAGGAGGGGGTAAATACATCCCTGGGAGGGGGTAAATACATCTTTAGGAGGGGGTAAATACATCTTTAGGAGGGGGTAAATACATCTCTAGAAGGGGGTAAATACATCTCTAGAAGGGGGTAAATACATCCCTAGGAGTAGGAAAATACATCCCTGGGAGGGGGTAAATACATCTCTAGAAGGGGGTAAATACATCCCTAGGAGTAGGTAAATACATCCCTGGGAGGGGGTAAATACATCCCTAGGAGGGGGTAAATACATCCCTAGGAGGGGAAAAATACATACCTTGGAGGGGAAAAATACATCCATAGAAACGCGTAAATACATCCTTAAGAGGGGTGAAAAAGAGATCCCTAGAAGGGGGTAAATACATCCCTTGGAGGGGGTAAATACATCCCAAGGAGGGGGTAAATACATCCCTGGGAGGGGGTAAATACATCCCTAGGAGGGGTTAAATACATCTCTAGAAGGGGGTAAATACATCCCTAGGAGGGGTTAAATACATCTCTAGAAGGGGGTAAATACATCCCTAGGAGGAGGAAAAATACATCCCTAGAAGGGGGTAAATATATCCCTAGGAGGGGGTAAATATATCCCTAGGAGGGGTTAAATACATCTCTAGAAGGGGGTAAATACATCCCTAGGAGGAGGAAAAATACATCCCTAGAAGGGGGTAAATATATCCCTAGGAGGGGGTAAATATATCCCTAGGAGGGGTTAAATACATCCCTAGGAGGGGGTAAATACATCCCTAGGAGGGGAAAAATACATACCTTGGAGGGGAAAAATACATCCATAGAAACGCGTAAATACATCCTTAAGAGGGGGGAAAAAGAGATCCCTAGAAGGGGGTAAATACATCCCTTGGAGGGGGTAAATTCATCTCTAGAAGGGGGTAAATACATCCCTAGGAGGAGGAAAAATACATCCCTAAGAGGGAAAGGAAAACTCAGCTGACATTTTACATTGCTTTTTTCAAAGTGACTAAAACTACAAATAAATCTGAAGTGAATAGAACAAGACAAAGACTTCTTTCTGTAGCAAAAATCTGTGAAAAAAAATAGAATCCATGTGATCATTTTGATGTTCATACATACAGGTCCTTTTTTCCAAGTTTGCTATGAATAGCATTTGTACTTATTGAGAAACTGAGAAAAGTACAACTATAAACTTGATTTCAGAGGTACGTGACCATAAAAGATATTTTATAAATAACGGATGTATTGAGTTTTCTACCATGTGATCTAACAACAATTTTTTAGTTGAATCTGGACTTACACTTCTTGAGCAACAGATCTTAACACCAAGTGTTTGAAGTGAAATGCTGATGATGCTATCACCGCCATAAAAGTAACACCATAGCTTCAGTTTGGAGACTTTCCTTTGCCAATGAGCGAAAATTGTAGAAATAGGATGTATGTTTGGAGAGATGATAATATTGATCAGTAAACCATATATCAAACATCCATCCCTTTACCACACTTCTTACACACTACATCATATCAAAGTTTCAGGCTGATACCTTAGGTCAAACTTACAGTACTCGTCTTCAGATAAAAATTTGGCAACATAAATGAATTAAGGGCCCTAATAATGTATTGAGCAGGAATTAGTTGATGACTTCCAGCCATCCTTAAAGTTTTTACATAGGAAATTGGTAGTTATAGGTGAAAAATGAAAATGGGTAGCCTTATGTTCTAGACGAACGTGATGTAGCGACTAAGAGACTCACAGATGGTGTGTTAACCACTGGTAGAAGTGTTGTGGGATTATAACTATGAAAAAAATACAAAGTTATACAGAGATGGTCACCTTGCTTACCCACCTGTTTACTTGACAGAAGTTTGGAGTAAAGGATTTCTTAAGTGAACGCAAGGAACTAAGCTCTCTGAAACAAATTGATAAAAGGGATACGTGTCATGTCATTTAGCAACAAATTAAAGTTTATCACACTGTATCATCTAGATATAAACTCTTTTCATAAATACAATCTGACAATCAATACATGTAATGGTTGTCATCATACTCCAATGGGATGTAAAAGGTCTGATGGGAGATACCTTTCAATCATGTAGAACTTCCAGGTAATTTTCTCCAAAATAAGAATTTTCTCACATTTCCACACAGGAGTTATTAATACAAACTGATATAACTTGTTTCACAATACTGGTGTATCAAAGCTGTTTCACATCAATATCACCTACCTGGATATCACAATCTCTGGGAGCATTTCACCAAAGGTTTTCTGGCGTTCATCATTCACAGGGAAAGACCCTTCAATAGGAATTATCTACAAAACACAAAGACAAAGATTTGTTTCATGTTTCTCAAAATTGAATAAAACTGTTTCACTGTCCTGTGTGGTTTTGACAATCACTCAATTTATGTTATAATATGAAATAAAAACAAATTTAAGCAGACTTAAAGGTCACCAACAACAATATTTTGTTGATATCTATATTTTGACATAGATATCACCTAGGTAGTACCCTGAATCGATTTTGATCTCTCGATACAGTTGTAGCTGAGTATGTTCTGCTACAGGTGAGTGTGATAACCTGTCCTCAATTAGCTTTCTTCAGTAACTTTTGGAAATCTTTGGCACCCAAAATCTGTAACATCAATTCTGCCTGTCCGTAGTGATAGTGGCAGTCTTTAATAATATGGTAGTTTTGATAATCTGACTTATTTCAGCAGTGATGGTACACTGTGTTGCATAGAGGTATTATAAAACTAGTGAAAATCATAGATGCAAGCTTCTTAAAACCGAATGTTATGGAAAAATGTGAAATCTTACAAACACAGCCAAGATGAACAAAAAATAACCAATCAAGCAGGTGAACTCAATATCTGCCCAACATATTAATTGGAAGACACTTATCAATTTCATCTAATGCTGACATCCCTTTCACGTCAGAAATATACCTGGGAAAACACCATGACACACCTGAACACAGATAAATAAACTATCACTGAATATTTTGATATATCTTATTGAAATATGAGCCTAGATTTCATTCCTTTATGTAATACAGGTAAAACTGGTCATCTTGTTGCCTTTTCCAGGTGAATTTACCATTGAAGTAATTACTGTCCTGTCATGCCGACTAATCCCCTCTGACTGGCAGGATTCCAGCAATAGGTAAGTGCATACTTAGGTATTCTAGGGCATTTCAGACTTAATAGCTACAAATAATGTAATGAATATTGCATTTAACAAACACTTTATGTTTAGATTAAAATGATTTTAATTTTTAAGAACAAAATCTGGAAAAATTCTGAGAAGACAGTTCCCATCACTGAAGTGAGTACAAGATGAAAATTGAAAAACAAACAAATTTATATCAAATTATTTTGTCTTCATCTACACAAAAGTTGTACCTTATATGTAAATATAGACGTGCAATAAACAAATAGAAGTTAAAATATCTTAAATTTGCCTTACCATTCATCAAAATACTGTATCCCTATAATTTTTGCTGGCGTTGGCCAATCCAGAATATGATTCATTGCCTGATCATTACTGAACATCATTTAGCTACTTTAAGGCTCAAACTGTTACGGTCTAATAACAACCTTACTTAATAAAATATTACCAATCTAATGTACACACTTTTCATAAACACTACTAATGGATATGTGTCTGCTGGCAGAATTGTTAACATAAATTATTGACCAATGAATATCTTGATTTTCAGAATGTAAATAACTCTAGATATTTTAACTTCCTCGCTTGTTTACAGGTAGAAATAGTGCTACCTTTATATCATGCGATACATCAATCACTTTTTTCAGACATTTATTATTTTTCGCAAAAAACTTTTTATTTTCATTCCCAGTGACCTTTAAAAAGAAAAAATATAATGACCTTTATGGCGACCGACTCGCCCTTGTTTTGTGTACGAAACACCTCTCCATAGACACCTTCTCCCACTTTAGTGCACAGTGTCATCATTCTAGAAATAAAAGATAAACAGCAATAAAACCTATGTTTACAGAATTATACCAACGATAACTTTCAGTCCTAATAACAGCACATGCCATACTTGAAACCTTATATTTACCTCGAATTTGTACAAAATAATTGAAAACAATATTGCTTTTGATAAATTTCAAAATAAAATGTAGTAGCATTACATCTTTTATGGAAAGAATTGGGGAGTTTGCTGTCAGTTATCATAATAAAAAAATAAAATTTGAATTTCATTTCATTGAAGCTTGCCTGTAATGAAGATTTTTTCATATTACTGTTGTGAAAAAATGAAAGTAAATGTAAGCAACCCTACTCAGAAAAATCACAGTTAGCTATATTTTATACTCACCTGTCAGGAATACATGTCCTAAAAGGTATTGGTGACTTCTGCTGACACACCTGGTAGACTTTAGTATGCGGGGGTTCCTCGATGATGGACTCTTCACATTTTTGAGGGGTTAGCACATCCTGGTTATATAACAGACTAGGCATCAGCATAGACATATTTTTCATTGCCTTAATATTAGAGCCACATTTAAAAAACATCACACCAACAATTTTCACTACCTGGTAAATCTGAATGACTCACTCCACAATGAAGTATATTAAAGTCTCAACTAGAACAAGAATTTCGGAAAATTTCAACAATCTAACATCTATACATGTACCAGCAGAAATTAGATCATCAAATTTTTCTAACAAACATTGAGATAAATTGTAATAGGTTTTTATTCAGGAAATATATTCTGCTGATTAGGTTTCTAAAATAATTTCTATAATGTATAAAACAGAGAAAGTGCTGAATCATGTCACAATCTTTTCAAATTAATTGATGAAAAATAAAACTTCCCAAATATCATTAGAGAAAAAACCAACAATCCAGAAAAGATTTTGAGCTTTCTGAATTGATATCCCAACCATTTTATCATTTTCAGTGCTTTAAATCCATAGAAGTGTTTTTTAAAATCGAGAACCTAATTTCATTTAATGATAAGACATACAATTCTGTACTAATAGACTAACAAATGTTACAAAGAAGAATTACTTACAAACATGGACTCATTCAAGTCTTGTCGTCTATCTCTAGATCTCAGGCAACCTTGACTCATTAGAGGCGTTGTGTTAGTGGTGTCAGCAGTGTGGTAAGAAGGTTCCTCAGACTCACTATCGGCTGTATTGTAGGAAGAATTAGAAGACACATCATCTTCCTCATCAACCTCTTCCTCCTCATCATCAGCTGACTCCAATTCCTGAATCTCTTCCTTTTCAGTATCATCAAGAACCTCTTCCTCCACATCTCCAACCAACATATAATGTGTTGAGTTATTAGGTGAACCTTTTGAAGGAATACTACTGATTTCATCATCATCAATTTCATCACTTTCCTCATCCAGTTCTTCATTTTCCGCTATATCACTCAGAACAATCTCATCATCTGATGATGATTCATTTTCTTCACTGTTCTCAGTGGTATTATCATCAGTAGAACTTTCATCTGTGTGTAAACTAATGTCACTAAAGAGGCTTCGCGAGTTATCTAACACTTTATTTGAGTTTTTGCTCACATGCATGGATAGGAAACTTTCTCGTAGTCTCACCAGCTCAACCATACAGTCATCAAAGGGACTTTTTGCTGAACTAGAACCACAAGACTTGGTTGAACTATTGGAGACTTGGTGTACAGACGGGGTGGACAATATCTGTGATCCCTCCACAATACTGGAGATCCCCAGTTTGTGTAATTCTGGACAGGATCCCTCCTCGGATTCCTGAGAAATGTCCTTGTCCTCAATAAGCTTAGCAATAGGACTATCAATGATATCAATGTGAGACAAATCTCCATTTTCCTTCCTGAGAGGCGTACCTGGCTGGAACCTTTTGGCGAAGGGTGTACTAGTTTCTATCTGAAGTTTTTTACCAGACCTGAGATGACAGGGAGAACAAAATGTGGGACTATTCTGGAAGGAGTTTTTTCCATTTACCTGACCTGGGGTACCAGATATCACAAGACTGTAGTCATCAAAGTCGCTGAAGTTGTAAAGTGAGGGCGCAGAGGATGAGGCTGAAGCATTCTTTGACAAACTATAACGGTGTAGGGCAGATATCTGGCCCCGCTTTCGTTTTCCATATGTCTTTAACTCAGTTTCCTTCACATTGCTGCGATCTCTGAGTGCTCTGCGAGGACGTGTGTTGCTGCTGAAAAGTCCTTCACTACATGTACTTGAGGCACTCTCCTGCAACACAATTGGAAAAAATAAATTCAAAGAAGCAGTAAAATGTAACTATCCTGTTAACTTTTCAATATTCTCTGACAGGGGTGTGAACATATTTCTTCCATTACAAGCCATGAAGTATTGAAAAACAAGATAAAATTGTCCTTGCTGTTCTTTGCTTGGCACTCAAATTGACAAGTAAGTCATGATAAAATGCACTATACTGTACAATTATAAATTGTATATTGTTAAACCCTGAAATTTATGTTGCTATTTGTTATCAAAGGTTCAGGCATGAATAATATTTCCATTCCAGTTATACCATATTGTGCGTACACCTGTGTAAGATTTATAATTAACCCTGTTATGGGCGATACAAAACTTTTCATCTGAGAGGAACCCTTGTTGCCATTAATGATGTTCAGGTAATATTTAAGTTCTTTCTGTGGATTACACAATATATTTTCAATATCTCGCTGACAAAGGTATTAGTCAAGTAAGTCAAAATTATAAATACATAAAGTAACTAAAATAATACAAACAAGGGGCATGCCTACATGTTCCATAGTATCAAGATGGAGTTATATCACAAATATTTAACATTCTTATTCCTTAATACAACATTTTTGTGAAAACAGTTTTTGAATATCCAATGAGTGATTTAATTTATTTACAAAACATATACAACTGATTCATTAAATAAATGCATTTTACTTGAGGTATCCCAATAATAAGTGTTAGCAATACTGAAAATAAGTAAAATATGAAAGTTATACATTTTATAATGAAATTTGAATTTGATTTGCACATAACCAGTCAAGTCCGAAAATACTCTAGATTTCCATTTTTCAATTATCTGTTTCCATGTCAATATATCAATAACCCTACCACCAGCACCACTGACTTCAGCATTCAACATCTGCACCAAAACCTATAACTTCTGAATAAGCTGTCCAAAACACCACAGAAAACATAATATCAAATATTGACTGCATACAGAAATAATACAAATATGCAATAACAATGTGTGTGGACAAGCTAAGGCAGCACCTAATTTCTCTGATATATAAACCACTTAAAGTCAGGCAAATTATATCTAAACTTCTAAATTAACATATTGTCCAGAAGAGTGAAATTTAATGTCAGATAAGTGAAGTTCATGCCACTTGCCTTTGTACAAATAAGACTTTCTATAGAATAAATGATACAATATGAAACTTGCTGAAACTAGATAATGTCTGTAGGACATAAATGCACCAGTCCCCAAGAGAAATCAGTTTCAGTATTGAGTCAGTTGATGATTTTCTATACATAAGCATGACCTTGGCCAAGACCTAGCACCCCTGAAACACAATGATGCCCAAAGCATATTCATAATTGACATTTGTATAAAGTTTGACCAAAATCTGTCAAAGAATGAAGATGTTAGGTGCTAACACTGAATCAGAACAAGACAGGAAATGCAACATGCTTAATTCTATGGTGGGGGCATAAAAAAAGTATTCTGCAATCAGAATTCTGATTAACATCTTTCCAAGAATGCTTCACTTTCGTTTTCATATGCACATGCCTGTAAGTGCCACACCACCCAATATAGAAATCTTCTGAAATGTGAAATCTTCATCAATTTAATGATAAAATCAGAGGAACTTTGAACAAAAATGGCATAGAACATTGTCAGCCATAAAGTTGATTACCATACAACAGTTAAATTCAGTGAAACATGAAGGAATACTTGTACAATGTTGTATTTTAAAACAATATAACTTTAGCTCTTTAGAGCTATTCATACAGCTGTATGTGAGTTATGTATTACAAACTAATGCATTTAAAGAGTAGGGAAATCTGTTCTGATAAGATTGAGGTGTTAAGTAAGTTTGGCAGTACAATTGATAGGCTTAGCAATACAAGGTTATAATTTATAAAGAAATTCAAAACTTGCACATAAACCATCAACTTTTTTGAAGAGTGGAGCTAAAAATGTATAAAAAGAGTTACAACTGTAAGTACACTGTCAGTCTGTCACCCAACACCTACATACTACTGTTTGTGCTGAATGTGTTGAAAGTATCTTATGGTCTATACACCAATGTCCATATCTTCTTGATACTAACCCCTCCACTGGAGTCCATTTTCTTTAGGTTCTGTCTTCTCAGGACTTGCTGTGAATTTTCTTTATTTTTTTTACTACAAGACAAAAATGTTAAAAGTAACCATGTGCAATACAAAATAACTATTTTTCCAAACATTGGTACTGAAGTACACTTAAATCTTACACTATTGTTTCACTGAACTAGATCATCCCCATTGTTTAAGCAAGATTAGGAGTTTATATTGAATTATCTTATTTACAAATATACCCTGTACGTGTTTTTTTTTTTTTTAGTCAAATTTAAAAATAAAACTAGCTTTTGCATGATATCAAAACTGTTTTTTTTATACCTGTTCCTCGTTTTTCGTGGCTGGAACACTGAGTCACCAGTACTGTTATGTGACATCGACAGGGAGTCCATACTAGAACTGGTACTGAACACATTCTTTTCTGCCTCTCTCTTGTCAATGGCCACAGCATTGTTCCACACATCAGAAGAGATGACACGCTGGCGATGACGACCATATGTTTTCACTGTCCTCTCTCCTCTTCTCCCCATGGCTGTTGTGGACTGAACTGCAACAGTGTTGGTATTTTGAAAAAAAAATGTTTGATCAGACAAAAAAACAAGGTTTCAAATCACTTTCAGTTACATGAAGGTATATGTTGCCTTATTGGTGGCTAACCTATCTGACTTTTAAGGATTGTTACATATCTGACTTTTGTAAATCAGTTCCTCTCAATCATAGCTATGTTCACAAGATTCGTTCATACTTGCAGGTCAACACTTTTGAGAGGGACATTATCAACAATCCCATAAAAAGTGAGTCCCACGGAGAAATCTATAAGGGTTTAGCATGTAGGTAAACCATTAAATTTATTGTGTGAAATCACTGTTGATTTTTATTGTCTATTCAATATTTAAGTTTCACTGTATCCATAAATTAGACCTGCTGACTTTCGCATCTTGATTTGCTACAGCCAGAATCAAGCGAAATCAGCTGTTTGGATTTACTAAAAAATGAGACGGGTTTACGCAAATGCTTTACCGCCAATGTCTTTTTAGAAGTTTGTTAAAATCAGGTAAAACTTACTACTTTGTGCTAAAACCAAAAGCAATAGATCACTTTAATATTATTCCCTCACATCTTGAAGTGTTTACTATTAATCAAATATGGCGCCGGTACGTTTAAAGACATGAAAGGACGAATTTGATTGGCCAACGAATGGAGCGAGTAATAGAATATACACAAAGCAAGAGCTTCCTAATTATCCGGTAAAGTCAGAAAAGGTAGAATGAAAATCGTCCCAAATTAAATATTTACCTCTAAACATTTTATTTTCCCCTCTATGATTAAGATTCGTAAGATGTCATTTCAGCGTCTAGCATACTCAGGTAAGGTATCATTCATCTTCATGTATTAAACATCGAAATTCCATGCTATAATATAGATATCACAGATGAAGGCTATATTAAGAGACAATATATTTAAAATCCCTCAATGTTATTTGGATCGCTGACTATATATGAGAGATATGTAACAGGAGGGGATAGAGAAGGAGTTAATTAATTGATGATTTTTTTTTTCAGTTTTCCACTGTATACTGGGAGTGAAAAAAATGGTCATATCTACATATCTAAGTCCATGTCCGAGAATCGTTACACCAGGGACGTATCTGTCTAATTTATACGTCCCTGGTCTCACCGATAGATAAGCTTGTAACCATGTGTCCATGCCGCATTCTACATAATACAGCATCAAAGTATTATTATAACGTCATGGTAAAAAATAGAACATTTAGCCACATTAACAATGAAAATCGCCAAAATATCAAAACTATCAATATAGTTATTTTCAAAAGTGAAATGCATTAATTATATACAATACCATGCAATAAAAGTTACTCTTTCGAAAATCTGAATAAATGAAGGTCTTCTATCTCGGCGATATTATGTAAATCCAGGGGCGTATAATACGTCCCTGGTAAATCATTAAAAGTCAAAACTTCGAATAACAACATTCAGTAGTTTGATTTTCTCATTAAATTCTTCCCATAGATACACGAGAATGGTCCTACTGCGTCTTCTAGAAAAAAATTGTGCGTCGTTGGAAATTTATTTATTCATCTGTATTTCTTTTTCAGGCAATACATAGATTTCCGTAAAAATCGGTCTCCGGGGTTTGGAAATTTATTAGAGAGTCTTCTCGCGAGAGTAAATTCTATGCGAGATTTCCCAAACGGATGGCGGAAACTTCGAAAACAGTGAATTTGTAAATAGACGGTAAATGCAAAATAGACGTACACAAATACGTTGTGAACCATATGACTACAGAAATTCATCTGACTTATATATAATTATCAAATATGTAACCAATGATCTGAACATGTACCCGAGTTCTTGCATTAACAACGGGCACTCTTGGGAGAAGATGAGAATTCAATAATTAAATAGATTTTGAGGTGCCTACAAAATTATATCGTCCACTGAAAGGCCGAAAAAGTGAACGTAAAACCTGTTAAATAACAATATCGTGTTTAGAAGTTGCAAAAATGATATCATAATTCATTTAACCAAAATTTTAGTGATTATAATTAGAGATCGAGATATCTTCAGTGTTTTTGTATATGTCAAAACACATTGTAATCATTAAAATTGACGGAGATATATATCAAAGTAGAAAAAACATTCCGCACAAGGACAAACTGAATATGATTATAAACCAATCAATTATCAAAACAGGATAATACAAAATGTAAAGTGGTACATGTATATATATATGTGTAATTTTCTAGTAAAACATGTACAGAAAGTAGGTATGCTGACTTTCTCTACGAAAGTTTTTTACGCCCAACCCAACATTTTCCGATATAACCTCCCCCAGTTTTTGAGCTATATCTTTGAAACTTGATAGTCATTGTAAACATAGATGATAATATGTTTTCATGAATGATATTTTGATTCAATAATAATTGAAATAAAATCTGATAAAGCTGTTCCTCACTGTAACTTGAGAATATTTTGATTTCAAAACATTGCATGTGTTCATGATTGATTTGGTTTATTGCACACCGAGATGTAAAATAATACATATATGCATTTATTCCCCCCACCCCACCCCCACAGCTTTTTATGTGTTAGTTCATCCTAAACTGTCAAAAATCAATGTTATACCTTATCTTATAGACTTTATGCTAAAGTAACATAATGACAAAAAATTGCATTCCAACATGGAATTTGACATGGAATCTAAGTAACTGTAATACTAAAAATGGAAATCTTCTTGTATTTTGTACATAATGATATAAATCACATATATTTACCTAGTTATTAAATTTTTTTTTAAATGGCAAACTAGTATTAGTTTACAATGGCAAGCCATATTGGTCACATGTACATATAAATTGCAGGTAATCATGCCGGAAATGCGAGACATTTTGTCTCCTTTGACAACTCCAAATATCCATAGAACACCAATGTTCTCTAATATAACTGGAATATCCCCTTCTACCAGTCGTAGCCATGTGGGTCTTAAAAGTCCTTCAGGTACACTTTTGTCAAGTGAACATGATGAGGCAGCAGAAAAAAGGGAGAGACGGAGGTCAAGGGTCATGCAGCTTCAACAGAGGACACTGGAAAGTCCTGTATCACCTGTCGACAAGTCAGTCTTTTAAATACAGCATACAATAGTGACACATTGATCTATGTTCCTAAATATGGGGAAAATCTCAATATTTAATTACAATAATCATGCAATTTTTTTGGAGATTTTAGAAGATTAATTTTTTGCCTGTAAATCATTCAATTAATGATCAATGACTAAATGAGTTGTTGTTTTTTCTTACCATTCATAGTTCTCAGATCTTCCACTGAAATACCATTGATCTGACTATCAGCCTTTTACATGTATATCAGTGTATTGATAGACTTTGATAACATATCAGATCAGAATGTCTACATAATTAAACTTTTCAAAATTGGTGACCTTTTTTCCAGACGGAGATCATTGACTTTAAATGGCCTTTCTAGCACTCAAATAGCTGAGCACTATGCCAACTGCATCAAATTATCAGCGGAAAATGTAAGATATTGCGTAATTTTATTAAAGATGATTTTAATATAATACAAATGTACTAGTTTTGAAAATGTGTTAATATTGTGTCTTTATGTTTCTTGACTAAGTTCTGCTTCCATATTGATAAAGTACAATTTTGATTTCAGAATCAAAATAAATATTTGGATAGTCTTCAAAGTGTTGTGTTGGTGACATTTTAAGTATGATACCTTTATTTTTAACATGTAATTTCATTTAACTTTAATGTTAAGACTAGTCATTTGAGTATAGTACTGGTAACATGCCTTCCGGGTTTGTTTTACACAGAAAATCACATCAAAGAATGCCTTTGGTCTTCACCTCATTGACTACATGTCTGACCAACTCAAGAAAAAGGAACTGGAAAACTTTCAGGTAAGTATAACCGCTTACTCATTTGTTCTTTTTGATTTCAATAAAAGTAGTGTTGTATGATTAATCATTTAAATGTTCTTTGATGTCCTTGACCTAATAATACAGGACACTATCGACACTATAGAATGATGTTATTTCTTACAACTGATCTGTCCAGGTAAACTGGTCACACACTATGTTCATCACATTGAAAAAAAACAGCTAATTAAGGTAGTGTTCTGTTCCATATAGGTAAAAAGTTACTGGTACAGTAGAGTGTAGCAACTGCCTTCTGTTTTGTTTCTCTTTTGGAATTTTCATGAAAACAAATATTAGAAAACAAAACATAGATGTAGCAGAAACACCATTAATATATTTTGAGAAATTAGAAGTCAGTTCTGTTAAGATAATCTGATCATTGTACATTGTATGTTATTCTAGGTTGCCAGTACTACACTTGATGCTAGCGCCAAAATTTATGCTGGTAGAGTGGATGCCATCCATACTGAGACCTACAAGGTTTTGTCTGGCCTCGGACGTAGCTCAGACAAAAACAAACCAAGTGATGAACAAGGTACACAAACAAACCCTCTTGAAATATCAGGAAAAATCATCACGTTATGTTAGAAGTCATAACATTCATTGTTACATAATACAACAATACTCAGGTATGATTTGTGAGATGTTGAGTACCAGTGAGATTTGCTTTACACCCTAAATACTATGGTATGATTTTTGAGAGGTTGAGTACCTGTGAGATTTGCTTAACACCCTAAATACTCTGGTATGATTTGTGAGAGGTTGAGTACCTGTGAAATTTGCTTTACACCCTAAATACTCTAGTATGATTTGTGAGAGGTTGAGTACTTATGCGATTGCTGTCGGATGATCTAATTATCTCAATACAACTAACAAAAGTTAACCTGTTAATCTGCAGATACATGATGTATAGTAGGTTTTATAAGATTACATGGTCTCCTTAAATTTAAACACACTTTAACAGCTATTTCTTTGGCATATTCAAAATTTGTTTAGAAATAATGACATTTTTTTTTTCATTTAAGGAAAATTTCTTATTCTGGAACATTTATTATGTGAAATAAATATCTCATATCATTTGTTACGGTCTAGAATATCAATTAATTTCCAACTAAAAGGAGTGCTGTTTAAGCTTAATTTTATCAATGTGTAGTTGTTTTTTCTGCTTTGAATGAAAAAAAAATAATGACAATTCAACATTTTACAGATGTGGATGATACGAACGCAGATCCCAGTGAACAGGGTACAGAAGATGAAAACAAAAAGAAAAAGAAAAAGATGAGAAAGAAAAACACAGTGGAATCCAACCTTAAAAACATTGACATGAAGGAAAAGGATTTTGAAGCTAAGGTATGAGAAGTTAGGTTTCCTACATCAATAATCATTTAAGGAATGATCAAGTTTACAAAAGTTTATGAATCTAATATTTTCTGGTTTAAGAATGCAATATTTGTATGATTAAAAGTTGTGACATTTCAAAGTTTACTTAGTTCAACATTTACTGGTATATATCTTATTACTATAACAAGCATGCAGTTTGTCACAGCCTTATTCTTTCCTCTCCAAAGTAGAACAGATATGCTGTTCATGATTCCAATATTTTTGTAATTTTTGATCCCTGAAATGAAAATGTTTACAAAGATTCATTTGGGAGTTTTTTTTTTCTATTTTCAGGCAGATCCACTGTTCCAGATAATGTCTGCTACATTTGATGAAGGTGGGATCAGCAGCCTTTTACTCAACAGTTTACGCTGTTTTGATGACCAACAGAGCCTAGCCCTCGACTCTGGTACACTGATAGGGCCCTGTTCAGAGATTGGAGAGTGTTCTCAACACCAGCCCAACGACCTCAGTGAAATAATAGGTAATTTACTCAACATGTTCGGTCTACAGTAGTGTATATCTATACATATTCTGATCCTTAAACAATGTCAGACATCACAATAAGATTTGTTATTATTGCATTCTTGCCAGTATATTATACAAATTTATCAATATGATAAAAACTTAAAACATTGCCCTGATGATTTAAGAAATTTCAACTTTTTCAGTAATTATATAACTTTCATAGTTTCAACCATCCAGAGGTGATTGATTTCTGGTCACTGCATTGAAATTTGCCAATTTTCCAGTTTTGATAATGAGAAGGTTGAATACTTTGGTTTTCCATCAAATCATTACCTTGGACATTTTTGTTGTTCAAATTTGATAACAAGAAAATTTTGTCAGCAATTTTGACCATATAACAGCATAACATTGTTGAAAACCATGTAAACCAGCCTATTCAAAATGGCGTCAAGCGTAATGTCAAACGATCTGAAATTAAAGAACTCTCTGTTTTTACATGCGATGTATATCATGTTTGAATTTGAATCTTTAAAAATGTAATGAAAAAAAAATTAATGGTTTCCCATTCAATAACATATTTCACTCAAATGATGGTGGAAAATTTAGATATTCTGTCAAACTCATGAAATTTTTATGATCTTAAATGTATAAACATCAATTTTACTTTTATTTCAATCAGAATATCAGTTAGAAAGTATTTTCATACCATTAAGTTCTTGTTAGAAATCATTTTATGAATTAGCTTTGTTCACATTAAGAATTTAATATGGAAATCAGTAATAAAATATTATGAATGTTACTGTTATATTTAATTTCAAATTAACTGGGACAAAGATATCAATACTAAAACAATCACACACAAAATAGCATGTAATTCATTGTGTATTCTTTAACAGATCTGGCTAAAGGTCATGACCTTGGACCACTAGAGATGTGTCCTAACTTCTCAACCTTCAACTGGGATGATGCCAATGAGGTAATGAGGAATGTTTTCAAAATTTCTCGTATACAAGACTTTCTTTAAGGAATAGGGATCTCAAAGTAAAACCAAAATCTTTTGGGTTGTACAAATTTATTCAGAAAACTATTTGATTTTGGTTAAAAAATGCTACATCTTTTGACACATTGATAAATGAATATCATAAATGTAATATTTGAATCAGAGCATATCCTTTTAAAATTCTAAGTCTAAAAGGATTTCATATTTTCTTCTTTGCTGCCATTAAGTTAAAGGTAGCAAGAAACTAGATATCATGAATGATAACCTGTGTAAATGTAAGATGTTGTTTATACTGTATGAACAATACACACACACCAAAATTTTGACAAGATAGTTCTGCACAAAATCAAATTCTATGACTAGTTTCGACCAGAACTACAATGAATTAGCCCCATAAAATATACAGCCAAATAATGTTTTCTGTTGTGTATTATCTGTTGTTGAATATATAATGATAACATGTGTTATCAATGAAATAGATTGAAATCTTAAGAAGCAAGCTGATTGATATATTTCGTATTTGTCTTAGACATCCATCTTGCCATCGGGCCCATCTGCCACAGCATTTGACATTAATGCGGAGGCTGAGCCCATACCAGACATGGATGAGGACCACAATGATGACCTTCCCCCTGACATGGGTGGTCTGGACATGGAAGACATCGGAAATGCTGGTTAATATTGTAACCTTTGTAACAGTCCTAAAGTAAACTTGACACAGCTTTTATCACCTCAATATAGTGTCACCTTGACAGCACAATTCCTTGAGGTCTGTTCATCAATGTTAAAATACTTGTCCATTTTCTGCCATCTTTATTGCTCATCATTCATTATTGAATCACAAGGTATTTGTATTGCTTTGGATGTTTTCAAAGCTGTTAGTTGATGACATTTTTGACATCTGATTTATTTATATGTCTTGACTTCATTGTGAATTTTGATAATTTCATGTTCACAATTAGCTCTTATGTTAACATCTAGTGAAGTGATACCCTGATCTGACAATACGTTTTATGATCTTTAGACTCGGACACAAGTCACTGTGATGGAGATGAGCCAGCAGACCAAGGCATAACTATAGGCGATGGCAAGGCTGCACAACTCATGGACACTGTGATGAAAGACCTTTCGTAAGAATTAAAAATAGTTTTATGGTTTTGTTGTAATAGATTGGTGGATGTTGGCATTTTACACACCTAGCCACCAGTCATTTTCACGTTGGTTGAATAAGCAACTTATACTGATCATATTAACATTGTTTCTTGTTTGCATATTATTTTCTGTATGATAACTGGGCAGGGTTTCCATTTTGGGGAACTACTTTTTAAAAAATTAGTTTAAAAGCTGTAAAAATATTATTGATTTGGTAAGAAAATAATGCAGACATACAGAAGAGGTCCTATACACCCTACCTTGTGATCTATAGAGTTGTACTTACCTGTAGTTTAAAGTTGAAATGAAATATATTACCTATGAATTAAGATATGATAAAACACTCGGGTCAGTTTAAACTCTTTTGCATGTTGGTTCATACTATTAGAACATTCAAGGGATGGATCAAACTCAAACATGATACAGTACATATTACAATTGCTTTTCAAATCTCAAGGTCAAGAGTTGAGGTAAAATTTGTATTTAGAAATGAATCATTTGGATAAAACTGCTTTGAATCAACATACCAGAAACTTGTTAGGAATACTGAACTACTGGTCTCTTTGTCCTCAGATGATTTAAAACAATTTATTGACTCTACAACAGGAAAGGATCAACTGGTACTCTGATGCAAGTTTTAGCAGCCGAGCCATCGGACTACTCCTTCTTCAATAAGACGTTACTGAGGACATGGGCTGGCCCAGAACACTGGAAGAAGGGACCGGTAAACAGAGGTCAGAAAACTTAATAATCTGTAGCATAAAGGGAAAGCACAAAGCCAGCTGTCAGTGATATCACTTGTCTTTTATTGTTATAATATCCTGTAATACCTGTAATTTGCATAGTTTATAGAATATTTGGAATAACTTGATGTGAAATATAACATGTGTAGTTGAGAAAAACTGTTGTTAGATTTTTTAAATAACCTATTCAAAGAATTGATTCTCAAAAGGGGAATCAATTTTGTATGAATTGGTTGGTCTCGGGTGTTGTCTCATTATAAGCTGAAACATGTTTGGCTGAATGTAAATCAGCAACAGTATAAACAGTGGCTCTAGGCCATCTTGGGTGAGAGGGATAGGGTTAAATAGAGGAAACAGAAAAATTTCTTTAAAATCCTTGTTCTATTGAAATGTCTGGAGGTTGGCTAAATTTGGTCTGAATCATGCTTGAGTGAAGATAAATCAATTTGTACCAATGGTAGGTTTCAGCCCTGTGGGAAGGGGCCAAATAGTGGAAATCCTCTAAAGTTATTCTATGGGAATGCCCTTGATTCTGTCTACATTTGGTTTGAAGTATACCTAATTGAAAGGAAGCTAATTTGTATCAACTAGGAATCTGACATCAGAGATGTGGGACCCAACAGAGGAAATGTACATTTATAATCCTTTTTTCATACAAGGACATTGTACAAGTTTGGTCTGAAGCAGTTTTTATGAATGGCAAATCTGACATCTGTTTGACCACAAGGCACAGTCCCAGTAGGGAAATCATTTTAAAGAATTGTTTGTCATATTTGAAATTCTTTGTTAAATAACTGATTAGTTGAATAACCGGGTGAGCAGTGCAGGCCCCTGGGGCCTCTTGATTAGCTTATTTTTTAGCACTTCTGAATTATAATGTCAGTGAGCTATTGATTATTAATAGTTGAATCATTAATAAGATTTGCTATTGATGCTGAACCCTATTTTTCATATTTCTTGGGCCAGACATTATACGGCAATGGGTAAATGTAGCAATGAATAGAATTTTTTAAATCTCAGTATCTCTCTTTAGTGTCATACTTCTCAGAAAATAGATATCACATGAAAAGAATTTAACATATAGGTGTGTATGTCTGATTATCTGGGGAAATTTGCTTAAAATTTTCATTTATAGGAGAGCTAAGCTGTCTACAAACAGCTTGTTTCTTAAACTGTGGTATTACTTATAATAGTAAGTAAGATTGAACAAGGTCACATTTGAAATGTTTTTTTCTCTCTCATTTTTTTCCTGTGTCTGATTTTAATCAATGTGAAAATAACTAGGTAATCCATTTTATTTGATTATTAACAGATCTTTTAAAGGGAAAAGTAGATAAACAACAGAAGGCAAAGAAACCTGTTTTTAAGATCGACTATGATGAGGAAATAGATGTTGAATTGCGCTTTCAACCTTCAAAATCTGTCACACTTACCAAGGCAACATTGACGAAGAACAGCAAGAACAAGAAAACTCTCCCTAAATACCTCCACTATGAGACAGAAAAACTCTTCAAACTGTTTGTGAAACCCAAACTTATGGTAGGTTTATCATTATATCTTATCAATGATGATATTCTATGGCTAGTTTGGATAGGAATCTATCTTAGAGCAGGGTGTACAATGTAAATGATGTCCATTGGTAGGTCTAATTTAGTCAAATTATTGTTTAGTTATATAGGGATAACTCTCTAGATTATATCCTTTTTGCCAGTTTTCATTCATTTGTTTTTACAATAATAGCATCTTTTATATATTGTTTTTGGTTATTATGCTTTGTACAGAATGTTTACCCTTTGCTTCGAAATATAGAAATTACCCTATTTTAGCATTATTCTAAGAAGTTTTAAGAAATAATAAATTTTCTTTCACAATTGAATTTTGGATTAGTTTCGTTCCCTAAAAATCATTTCCTGCTTGGTTTGTTAGATTCTCTGTATCAGATTTTGTATATTTGTTTTTTGTTTTTTTTTTTCTTGTAACGATACATAGATATGAGTTTTTATTTTATTTACAGATTAAACGACAAAACACATCTACTGATAGTATGGATGATGTTATAGAAAATTACGACTATGAAAATGTGAATGACAGAGAAAATTTCTGCCCGAGAGATTTAGAAGTAAGCATGATGAAATCTACACTGATTTATAATTGGAATGGACGCTGGTCATTTATATATTGTTACATTTACTTGTTATTGGTAGATTATCTATATCTGAAATGATATTTAAGGTACTCACCTTTTCAATCTGTTCCCTTTTGGTTTGATTTTGTTTGTTGTGAATGTTTCATTATCCTTGTCTAGTCCAACAATTTTGGATGCAGGAGTTTCTTTCTAGACAGTTTGCTAATGTGATATCATCATAAGAAGAACAATACTAGCGAGATTTCATTGATAAAGTGAGGTTGTTTTTTAGCTACAGTATTTCTTTTGTTGATTCAGTCTCACACTCTTTACCACTCAGCTATTGTTCCCAATCATTAAACAGAAATGTCTTGTACTACCTTGTCACACACTATAACTAGACTATTACATATCAGATGATTCAGACCTGATCTTTTGTAAATATGAAACTACAAATTACAGGGAGACAATGATGATGATGATGGCGACAGCCATATGGGTGAGTTTGACTTTACAGCAGGGGGCAGTGAGTTTAGCCAGTCACAAGAATCTCAGGACTTTGGATCTCAAGCGGAACAAGCGTTGGATGGAACTATGCTGATAGGGGATAAACTAGTGGCCCAGCCTCATAAGGTAAGGCATTGCCTCATCTAGTAACACTGACTCAACCTCATAAGGTAAGGCATTGCCTCACCTAGTAACACTGACTCAACCTCATAAAGTAAAGGGATCAACTTTGCTGATAACATTCAGGCATAAGATTATGAGGTTGACAAGATCAAATAAAATTATAGACAGATATTTGATCTTTTTTTAGATCTTCAAAAGTAGTTTTTCTATCATGCAAGTGCTTGAATACATTCTGGTTTACACTGTTCATTAAGTTGTAATTTTACACTACATACATTTTAAGATAATTGATAGTACGTTTATCTATGACAGGTGGCAAAGATAGATATATCTTATGCCAAAACAGCTAAGAAACTGGATGTTAAGAGACTGAAGTCAACCATGTGGAATATCATGACACAAGATATTGTCAAGGTAAGAGGAATTCCATGATCCTAGATTAAATAGGTTTAGGACAGAGTTCCTTCATGACTTACATTATCTATGAGTGAATTTCGTCAAACCTGACAAGCAGCTATCCAGCGAACTAGTCACGATTTGAACCTGACAAGCAGCTGTCCAGGGGACTAGTCGCTGTAAACAGGAAATGGTTATGAAAAGGTGTGGTTTGGTCGTAATCATTCTTTTTTATGCCCCTTCCATAAAGGAAGGAGAGGGACATACATGTCCATGTCTGTCCTGATGTGTCTCGTCCTATTGTGTCTCATCCCGTCCTGATTAAATGTAATGCACCTAGCAACAAAGTTCAATTATGAGTATACTTTTTTGGACATGGTTGTGTTTCAGGGACCTGATGTCAAGACCAAGGTCAACAATGCTATATATAGAAAATCATCTACGGATTCAAATTAAACATTTAGCGACTTCATTCTCCCATGGATTTTGGTCAAACATTATACAAGGATCAATTATAAGTATACTTTGAAGTAATATCTGATGTGTCTGATTAAAAAGATACACAGAAATAAAGCGTACTACAAAGTCATCTAAGAAAAGGTATTAATTAAAAGAAGATGTGATGCCCAAATAAATAAGTTTTCACCAACATATCAAGCATTAACGGTATTGATTAGGTCTGTCCTATCACAGTTTTGTTAAATAATACCCAACACCAAAACCATAAATTTCACATATATCCTGTTTTCAAAGTGTAAAAAACCTAAAACATTGTCTGTTGCCTGAGGCCTCATTTAACAGCACATGCTTTAGGACCATGATCCCCAAGATGTTTGCAATACATTATTTCAAAATTAAGCAAAATCTGGTCCGAATGTGCAGGAGTTTTGATTTCCTGTACCATAATACTATACACCTAGGCAATGAGACACTGAATAAAATTTATTTTAATATTCATCAAGATAAAAGTGTTATCTTGTAACTTTTACAATCAAATATTTACCCTTTCCTGGCTAATAATTGAATGTTTTGAGGAAGATATATGATAAGTTCCAATACTTATGATACATATTGTTTTTTAATTACTTAAAAAGCCACAATATGCACACAGTGTCTTCAGGAAGACAAATTATAAACGAGTGTTAAACTACTCTTCATCAACTATAGTAACATACATGTTATTCTGTATGGTCTTAAAAATGTCACCGTGTATTGATTTTGTGCCTTGTTGTGAAAACAAGGTAATTTAAGATTAATGTTACATATTGGTTTTGACTTTAGGTTTCTACAAACACACATTCAAAGTAATCACAATTTACCATTGTCATATTGTCAGTTGTCCTTTGATATACAGTAACTTTGTCTTAAAAAGCTGTTTTGATGCTGTTATTAATTCATGACACTGAAAATGGGCTGATGAAAAGGTTAAATAAAAACAGCAGTGTTGGTAGATATTTTAAATCAATAGTTTAACAGGTTCAACAGAAAATATTACAATGTAAGTGCCCTTTTTTTTCATCTTGAATTCATCAAAATGCGAAACCTTTAATTGAACTGTCAAGTCAGCTTTATTTGGATTTGAAGTTAAGTTTAGTGTCTGGTAATTGTTTATTAAGATGCATCACTCTGCAAGGGAGACAACAAAAGAAAACAGAAAAAGGAGTAAAGGCAATTGTTTTCATTATTTTCGGTAATGTTTTTTTGTGGAGTATAGGAATGATAGATCTCCTTATATTGCAGAAACATTTTGTACATTGACTCAGAAAGCTTTCCATTATATAGGTACATTTTTTTTAGTTTTGTTGACAAAATCTTTTCAATGTCTTGTAGACAATTGTTTTGACAGTGGGTATCTGAAAGACTACCGATAATGTCATGGTTGAAATATTTTACAATCTTGTGATGATTTGTGAAGATCATCCAAAGATGGTGTAGAATAGTTTATTTATTTTCAAAAAATTGCTCCATTATCATTTACAATCGCCTTTTTTAGCCTCCCATGGAATCTGAAGCTGCAGAGAAAATTGAAGTGAATGAGAACACAAGTGCTTCCACAGATGTGGCAATGACTGGCACATGTACTTTCCAGGATTTGCTAAATATCCTCCCAGACAAGGTGTCCAGTCAGACTGCCAAGAATCTCAGTGTCCCCATAGCCTTTGCCTGTCTCCTTCACCTCGCCAATGAAAAGGTATCTGCAGTACACAAATCTACATTGGTTGTACAAGTGTCATTGATATGGCATTCTCTATTATATTGGCAGTAAATGTTTAAAGGTCAAGGTCACTTACTATATATAGAATACTAGTCACTAATTCAGAGACAGAGACTAATTCACCTGGTCCATTTTTCAAATCAGAATTGTACACTATATTTGTATCGTTGTCACCTCTTTCATAGTTATAAACCATATCCTGTGTGGACAGTTCCTATAGATTTCATATCATAGCAGTATTAAGTTATAGTTTTTCACATAGAAAAATTCTTTTGCTGTCTGATAGGTCAATTTTAGTTAGAACTAATACAGAAAAATTCTTTTGATGTCTGATAGGTCAATTTTAGTTAGAACTAATACAGAAAAATTCTTTTGCTGTCTGATAGGTCAATTTTAGTTAGAACTAATACAGAAAAATTCTTTTGATGTCTGATAGGTCAATTTTAGTTAGAACTAATACAGAAAAATTCTTTTGATGTCTGATAGGTCAATTTTAGTTAGAACTAATACAGAAAAATTCTTTTGCTGTCTGATAGGTCAATTTTAGTTAGAACTAATACAGAAAAATTCTTTTGCTGTCTGATAGGTCAATTTTAGTTAGAACTAATACAGAAAAATTCTTTCGATGTCTGATAGGTCAATTTTAGTTAGAACTAATACATTATTTGCTTTATTGAATTTCTCTGACTTCACTCTATTTCAGTGCCTGAAGATAATTTCAATGGATGAAGACCTTGGCAATCTTGTTATATCTCAGGGAATATGATATTGTATTGTTACCGCTGGATAATTGTTCTAATGATATATATTGGTGTTACCAACTGACAAGGAGTTCTTCAAAGTGAAATGTCAGTCTGTCAGTATATAAATAATGGTAAGCAAAGAAACTCCAGCAGCTATTGAGAAATCACTGAACAACTGCAGACATGTTTCAATTGATGTGGCAGCTATATTTACTGAAACATTGGTCTCAGGCAATACAGTGTGACAAGGAGAAGCTGGTTTGAAAAATGATTCAAGCTGATATCACAAATTACTGTTACATGTGTTCATTTACAAGATAACTTTGATGTATCATTACATTAGTTTAGCTGTATTGACCAGAAAATTGTTGTTGCACAAGAAGGTGAGGTTTTAATAGAAATGTGGTACAACAGATACTAATCAGGGATGCCTTTTATAAAATACTGTTGTTAAAAAAAATAATTATGATTGAAATTGTAAATAATTGTATAATATCTGTGGTAAAGATATGTTAACGTCCGTGTTTTAAACATTAAAGTCATCTTTTATTCCGAAGTTAAAGACCTAATTTAATATTTATGAATCAAATCAATGGTTTTAGAATCTCTATTATTGAAAGGAAATATCAAAAGAAAGCTACTCCTTAAGTTATTGAAATAATACCTTGAAATTCATATGGTGTAAAACACATAAAGAGATTTTTCCGATTAAGTTAGATATCAAATAAGGATGTTAAATGGGTGTAATTGATTTATTATGTGGTCATGTTATTATGTAAGAATTTGAAATTATCCCCCTTTCACAATGTCTATGTTAAATGCATTTTGGTATTTATTGTTGATATCTGTCAATGTTGATTGCAAAACCTGTCGATGTTGATTGCAAAACCTGTCAATGTTGATTTTGATACTGCTTAGTGTTGATTTTTATCAATGTTGATTGAGAAACCTGTCAATGTTGATTGAGACATCTGTCAGTGTTCATTCTGACACCTGTTGCTGTTGATTGAAACATAAATCAGTGTTTTTAGTGTTGATGTTGACATCTGTCAGTGTTGATGTTGACATCTGTCAGTGTTGATGTTGACTATCAGTATTGTAGTTGACATATGTCAGTGTTAATTGTTGATATGAGTCTTTGTTGATTGTTGACATCAGGCAGTGTTGCTAGTGTTGTTGTTGACACCTGTCAGTGTTGATTGTGACACCTGTCAGTGTTGATGTTGACATCTGTCAGTGTTGATGTTGACATCTGTCAGTGTTGATTGTTGACATCAGTCAGTATTGATTGTTGACACCTGTCAGTGTTGATGTTGAAACCTGTCAGTGTTGATTGTTGACATCAGTCAGTGTTGATTTTGACACCTGTCAGTGTTTATTGAGACATCTGTCAGTTATGATTTTGACACCTGTCAGTGTTTATTGAGACATCTGTCAGTGTTGATTTTGACACCTGTCAGTGTTTATTGAGACATCTGTCAGTAATGATTTTGACACCTGTCAGTGTTTATTGAGACATCTGTCAGTTATGATTTTGACACCTGTCAGTGTTTATTGAGACATATGTCAGTGTTGATTGTTGACATCAGTCAGTGTTTGTTGTTGACATCAGTCAGTGTTGATTGTTGATACCTGTCAGTGTTGATTGTTAACATCAGTTAGTGTTGATTTCGACACCTGTCAGTGTTTATTGAGATATCTGTCAATATTGCTAGTGGTGGTTTTTGACACCTGTCAGTGTTGATTGTTGATATTAGTCAGTATTGATTGATGACATCTGTCATCGTTGATTGTGATACCTGTCAATGTTGATATTGACACCTGTCAGTGATGATATTGACACCTGTCAGTGTTGATTTGACACCTTTCAGTGTTGATTGTTGATATCTGTTTTACTGTTGACACCTTTCAGTGTGTGTGTTGAAGATATGTTATATTTGGCATGGATATTGCTTATAAATCAACCTATTGTTATAATGTGAGAATATTGTGTTACGTCCCCTCAAATGTATACATATTCTTGTTATATATTATGAATGAAGGTAATATCCTAGTTATTAACTTAGCGAGTACCAATGATACATTAGTATCATTAAAAACTTCAGTCAGCATCTTGTGGTATTTTGTTTTGTCACATTATTTATGTCCTGTATGATTCCTCTCTCTCCTACAACTGTCTGTTTATGTATGTATATCTGTAATGTTGACATAATACCTGGTAAACACCCTTAATACCTAGACAATGTCTCTGTTGTATGATTCCTCTCTCTCCTACAACTGTCTGTTTATGTATGTATATCTGTAATGTTGACATAATACCTGGTAAACACCCTTAATACCTAGACAATGTCTCTGTTGTATGATTCCTCTCTCTCCTACAACTGTCTGTTTATGTATGTATATCTGTAATGTTGACATAATACCTGGTAAACACCCTTAATACCTAGACAATGTCTCTGTTGTATGATTCCTCTCTCTCCTACAACTGTCTGTTTATGTATGTATATCTGTAATGTTGACATAATACCTGGTAAACACCCTTAATACCTAGACAATGTCTCTGTTGTATGATTCCTCTCTCTCCTACAACTGTCTGTTTATGTATGTATATCTGTAATGTTGACATAATACCTGGTAAACACCCTTAATACCTAGACAATGTCTCTGTTGTATGATTCCTCTCTCTCCTACAACTGTCTGTTTATGTATGTATATCTGTAATGTTGACATAATACCTGGTAAACACCCTTAATACCTAGACAATGTCTCTGTTGTATAATATATCTGTACTAATGACATTTATAAATTATTGTGTTGAATGTTGTGCAATAAATGGTTTTTACCATAAAAGGAAAGGCAGAGCGTAAAATTGTAGTTTTAACATTTACATCATAATAGATGGTTTCACTGAGTGTTCTTATGCCTCTGCCAGATGAAATGAATAAGGATAAATAACATTGGCCCTCTGTGTTGATCCAGTTCATCATCAGACTCTCATCATTTCAGCTTTGTCTCCAGATTTAATGAGGTTCATTAACTCTTTGACAATACCATCTACATTTTAAATCTTTATTCCTCTTTCCCTCAAATAGTTTTGAACTTGATCTGTGTTGTTTCATTTCTACATCATTATTCCTTAGGTTTCCTCTTTGCTATATCGACATCAGGACATTAATCACCTGCTTTCTCCTAGAGTTACACTCCCCATCAAATTAGGAATGATATCTAGTAATCACCTTGCTTTGACACAATATTAATGTTTTTAATGAACCCATGAATGGACTTATTGCCTATATACATCATAATTTTTAATATGAAATTCTACATCTGAGTAGATTTTTGTATTCTTTGGCCTAGGTGAATAGGTCTAATATCACATGTACTTGTATGATTATAGTAAAAAAAAATATATATACACTTTATATATATGTAGAAGACATGACAATTAGGGAGGGACAGGCAGTGGTAATGTCTTTCATCTGTCTGGGGTTCAATTCCCAGAATAGACTTGAAAGGTAAGGGGGTCCCCTACTTTACCACTTTGGTTTTCCACAGGTATTATGGTTTCCTCCTACACTAACACCCCTTACGCGCTTTCTCTTTTTACCATGAATACTGATATATATATCTTACAATTCATTTTCAGATGTTGTGAAATTCATGTGAAGTCAGTAGTAAAGTGTATGGATTGTGTTTTGTTTATGAACAGATTGTACATCAGAAAATATAAATACATGTACGGTACTAGAATTTATCTTTGTTTTTTATACCTATAATACACATCCTATAGTAACACAAGTGACACTCCTGATTATCATTTTACCCACCATGTTCAGAGGACGACAAATCACTTCTCATCTGCGGTCCATTATCTAGTCTCTCTATCATCATTTTACAGCACTTTTATTTTGGATCTCAATGAGACCGAGTTGTGCATGCCATATTTTGATTTTTGCTGTATTTTTAAGATGGTCCCGACAGCCAATTTTATTCATGTTAGACTGATGAACCTTAGTGTTGCCTTGAAACATGAATTGGAATTATTTAACATTCTGAGTACATGTTGTGCATAACATAGTGACGGTGATTAAAATTTCAAAATGGCTAACAGCAGCAATTTGTATTTGAACAATTATCAATCAACTATCAACATCAATGCCTATACATCTGATACCAAGGAAAAAGAAGTAAGATTATCAAACTAAGAAAGTATTTGGGAGCACCAGGATCTCTCTCTAACGTAATCAATGTAATGCTTTCTATTCAATGCTACAACTAGATACCTTTGAGAATTATTTAAAGTGTTTTGGTGGGGGACTGTCGCACTGCTAAACATACATTGGGAATCAATCAATAAAACATAGTATCCTTATATGTGTATGCTGTTCATTCCTGCTGAACTAATTGGTGTGCCATATCTCAACACACTATCTATCTTTCCAGAGACTTGTGTTTTGTGTGATTGCATTGGTCTACGTAAAATTCAATTATGTTTAAATCAGAAGTGTACTCCTGTATCTGGAAAAATGCCTCGGTTCAAATCTCAAAGAAATTAATATACTTGTTAATATCAATAGTTAGGGCAATGATATTCCAGTATTACTACATTAGGAAAAATATTACTACACCAGTAATCTTATCTATAAAGAACTTTAGTGAATGACGAAATAACTGAAGTACAGCAAATCAATATGGAGAGCCAAAGAAGGAAAACAAAATTCAGTATTCATTCTTGTTGTACAAATAAAGTTTCATTTAAGCTGTTTTTCTGTGATGCTTTACTAAGTAGCACTGACAGTCTTATACTATACTTCATGGATGACTGGTTATGGAGGTCCTTGTCCTGATTGCTTCACTGATGTCGTCACTGTATAGAAACTGGATATAGGTACCAGGCTAAACAGAAACTTGGAGAAGACGGGATGCAAGATTATCCAGTATTTACTATGTTTATGCTGTAGTAAGCAGTCAATGCCCTGCACATGTGTTTCTTAGCTATCTAATCGCTGATGAATAGTAAAAAAATTATCATTAGTTATAGATGAACACTAAAATCATCTTAAACTAATTCTGACGATTGATGCAGTTGCTTGATGAAAGCTGTAGGTTGTGAGAGGAGTGGAATACCAGCATAAAATAAAGTGGTAGGGAAAATACCAGATGATCTAAATCAGGTGCTCAGATCACAGGGACTTGGCTACAATTAATATACCACAGTCCACATACCTGTATTATATATATGTATGATGATGTATATATTACTTATATACAATATACACACTGTATGCATGTATGGATTGTTGGTTGTGAATTTTTGTCACCAAGAGAGACCAATATCACTACCAACCACATAAAGATTTCACTGAGAAGCGACAAATTTCACTATTTTGGAAAGAACAGTACATGCCTTGCCAATAAGCTGTACCCATAAAATTTCAAGTTTCTGAAATTGTTATACACCAGGCACATACAGTTCTCCATTCTTCACACACTTACTACTACAATTTCTGAGAATATCTAGCTTCATCCATTTTTAATTGAAAAAACAGTTTTTGTGATTTATCAGTAGGTGGTTCTTAAGAGCATTAAAACTAGTAAAATATTTCATGCTATCTTTTGTCATCCTGATCACATACTTTCCACTTTACCTAGTACCTGTATCCATTTTCCTATACCTTGGATAAGCATTATGGAGTTTATGTCATTGACCTGGTAATGCTTCACTAACATCTTGAATGACTAGTTATGGTGGTGAGTATTTATCCTGTTTTACTTCACTGGTCATATAGTCATATAGATTAGCCTACCATGACCAGATATAATTTACAGGAGTGTGATAGTCATATCGACCTGTGATAGTCATATCGACCTGGGTCCCCTCTCCATATGCTTGTTCAAGCGGACAGTTTAGAGCAATACATTGAAACACCAGCCCTTCCACCTTTTCCCATAACTGCAGCTCTTCCATCCTTTCCCGTAACACCTGCTCCTCCACCCTTTCCCGTAACACCAGCCTCTCCACCCTTTCCCGTAACACCAGCCTCTCCACCCTTTCCCGTAACACCAGCCTCTTCACCCTTTCCCGTAACACCAGCCTCTCCATCCTTTCCCGTAACACCAGCCTCTCCACCCTTTCCCGTAACACCAGCCTCTCCACCCTTTCCCGTAACACCAGCCTCTCCATCCTTTCCCGTAATACCAGCCTCTCCACCCTTTCCCGTAACACCAGCCTCTCCATCCTTTCCCGTAACACCAGCCTCTCCACCACCCACCCCCGCTCCCAACCGTTTCCCGGTGACCTTGTTAAGACCTGATGTGATCCTTGGACAGAATTGCCAAAGTTTTGTTTTTCTGATTTTTGACGCTAATCATGAATTTTCAAGATCATTTGATACATAGATTTGTTCTGACAGTATAAAATATGTACAAGATTAGTAGTCCTTTAACAGTCATCTCGTAATAAGTTTTAATTGCGAATTTTAAAGCTTGAATACTTTTGTCCAATACTCATCCATTTCCTACTCAAATAGTTTAAATGTACTGATATGTGTCCTGTAGCATGATGGGATGAAGGCCTACGGAGTTTGTTAGTATGAATGTCCTTGACCTACTTTCAAGGTCACAGGAGTCAAATATGTTAAAATCTTTGGCCCAGGGTGTCTTGGAAATATTATGGACCTTGACCTACTTTTAAGGTTAAAGGTGTCAAATACGTCAAAATCCACTTTTGATGTCACACGGTTAAAATGTGTTGAAATGCGTAAGCAACTTCTTCTCAGTGACCAAATGGCCAAAGGTCTTGATATTTGACCTGTAGCATGCTTTTTCAGCAAGCAAAAAGTCCATAATAATGGCATTTTTGTAGTGCATAAATAAAGAATATGATTTCAAGCTTGCAGAAAATGCCTTTATGAACCAACTAGTGTCTTCTATGTAAGCCTATGTGACCATCTACAGTTTTTTATAGTCAGATGACCCTTAAGGTATTGTACATGCCTGTGATTAACGCAGTAGGATTAAGCCATATATCTGGTCTAGCAAAACGAGTTTTAATTTCCACCTATCGAGCTTCTCTAGCCGCTGATGGCTATTCCACATGGGTATTGATCTATCGTCTCCTATTTCCTTTGAAGTAGCAATTCCTTGTTCCTTTGTAAAGAACTACGGAAATAATTTTACCAAGATCCATTGTATTGGTTAGGCGACAAACTACCGAAAATTGCTTCCAAGTTTGTGTTGCCTATATTTTGTTTTAAATACTGCATAACTGTACTTCTCGGATATTTATATTAAAAGTATGTTATTGTGCCTGCAGATCCTTGTCTACCATTCTTAGTACTCTCAAATTTGGGTTACAGTCTTATTTTGACACTGCTTACTCGGGAAGTGGAATCAAAAGCATGTAGATTTTAAAGAACTCCACAGAGCTTTTGGCCAATGTTCACCCTCTTCTGAAGATCATTTCTTCTATAAGAACATTTGACTGTTCCACTCCACATACCCCATTCTAAACTGAAAGAACACTTTCATGTTCTTGTCATGAGAGCTTTCTTTCCCAATAAAGGTGAATGGCGGTACAAATATACTAGCGGGAAACAGTTTAGTTGTCGTAATATAACTTTTAGACACTTGGACTAAATTTAATAAGATTTGACACTGAGCTACCTTCAGTTAGAATTCAGCCGACCGTGACCTCTCTCGACGCTGCATGCTTTCAGCAGATTTTTCAAGAAAGCGTGCATCTGGGGTACTTTTGCACCATATGTGTTGGTAAATCATTACAAATTAAACATTGTAACAGCATAGATCAGCTAAACAACATTTCTTTCCGCAGCGATTATGGGGCGAAACACCGCGTTTGAGTGAATTTGATAGAGGTAGGGCCATTGCTCTGAAAATGCAAGTGCATTCGCAACGTCATGAAGCCCAGCAACAATGTGTACATGAGACAACAATATCCCGTTTAGTTGGGCATCTCGGAGCCACAGGGAGATTGGGTGACCGTTCCAGGAGCGGACGCCCGCGCGTTACGTCGCGACGTCAAAATAAAGGCATACACCTCTCGCACCTGTGTAACCGATTTCAGACGTCAAGTTGTCGGCACTCATTGTAGGTCAGTGTGTCCAAGAATGGTTTGGAATCGGTTGCGGAAGTTTCATTTAAGGCCCTATGTTGGTCCTCTACTTACACAGAGGCGACGCCAACGTCGAATGCAGTAGCTGCTAAACCTAATCGGTTTCGTTTGGCCCATTGGAGACGTGTGTCGTTCACTGACGAGTCTTGCTTCATGCTTTACAGACCAGGTGGAAACAATGTGTCTATCGACGTCGTGGAAAGCGATATTCTTCCCGGTTCTTGATTGTCCCCAATCGAACATTTTTGGAACGAGCTGGACAGGAAGGTTAGTAAGTACGTCAACGTCCCATATAACGTCACTCAACTCACGCTGGCCGTTATTCAGGAGTGGAATTATATCCCACAAAGGACAATACACACTCTAATGGGGCCAATGTAAAGGAGAGTAGCGACTGAAGCCTGGGGTCGTAAGATTCAACTTATGATAATATACACCGTGCATTTGAACAGAACGACTATCTGTACACCTCTGGACTATGGTATACCTTGACATCTACAAGATACGACAGTCTTGATCAATGATGCCTGATTCGTAAGTAAATGTCGTTAACTGATCAATATTTCAGTACTTATCAGTCTATGTCAAGTCTATAAATACAGGGAAGTATGGAAGTGCTCTATAATAACGACGGTAATATATCAGTAACGAGTTTCTACTTGTAATGACTTGGTCGTCAATTAAGTACCTACCTATCGTTCCAACATTTATATCAATCCGTGTACAAACAGAATCACTTCAGCGTGGCAGATCATTTAAAACTGAATGTACTTCATATTTCATTCGTGTTACATTCTTATTAACATATGTGACGTTTCTGAGGAGCTCCCCAGACGTGTCACTGTAACATTCTTTATAGTATAAGTGACGTTTCCAAGGAACTCACCAGACGTGTCACAGTAACATTCTATAGTAGTATAAATGACGTTTCTGAGGAGCTCCCCAGACGTGTCACAGTAACATTCTTTAGTAGTAAAAGTGACGTTTCAGAGGAGCTCCCCAGACGTGTCACTGTAACATTCTTTAGTAGTATAAGTGACGTTTCAGAGGAACTCCCCAGACGTGTCACTGTAACATTCTTTAGTAGTATAAGTGACGTTTCCGAGGAACTCCCCAGACGTGTCACAGTAACATTCTTTAGTAGTAAAAGTGACGTTTCCGAGGAACTCCCCAGACGTGTCACAGTAACATTCTTTGTTAGTATAAGCGACGTTTCCGAGGAACTCCCCAGACGTGTCACAGTAACATTCTTTGTTAGTATAAGCGACGTTTCCGAGGAACTCCCCAGACGTGTCACTATAAGATTCTTTAGTAGTATAAGTGACGTTTCCGAGGAACTCCCCAGACGTGTCACTGTAACATTCTTTAGTAGTAAAAGTGACGATTCCGAGGAGCAGATAACAAAATTCACGATAAGTTAATCTTTATTATAAAGGGAAAATCTCGATGCCTTATTTTTCAGCGTTCAACATTGAACCCTCATCAGCTCCTCTCCTTGAAACCCCGTCTCATTTCGGTTTTATCGGCTCGGCGTCTGCCCATCCTTTGGTAACAACAGCTCCCTGTGCCCTTGCCAACAAGACGGGCCACACCAACGAGTCCATGACTTTGCCTTCTGTTCTGTAGTACTGATACCTAGAAAGGTCAAACGCGTAACCTTTCTTCCTCGTGAGGTCAAATGTCATAGCAGGATCTTGAACACACATGGACCACGTGACCTCAACACACCTGCTGACGTATGTCATGATCTTTTTGTTATTCTTTACCGTCTGTGAAATGTTTTTTTTCTTGAATTCTTCTACGTCATTCACCGTGTATATCTGAAAAGACCGTCATACCATCATGAAATGATTGCAAGACACACTGTTCTTAGTTATTGAGGGATGAATGACGTCATGGTTTGGTTGTCCTGACAAACCCAGAAAGCATGACCTGTCACTGATCTCTTATATAAATGGGATATGCTATTGAGAAAACCAAGGAAGGCAGTGAAAAGATAATGTCTAGAAAACAAACTTTGAATACCCCAATATTATTTATTGTTTGATAAGGTACATGGTATGTTTGCCCGAGAACCAGATGAAATGTTGCCGTCGTACCTTCGTGAGGACCGCTACCGTACTGTCGGACACCTTCCTACGGTAAATCATGGCCTCTATACTTCCCACCAAACTCACGTCATATCTTGACAACGGCTGAATAAAAACAATAACGAAGATATAAAACAAAATATGTTGCCAAGAAAGATGTAGTTCTTGTTACACTAAACATAGGGAAACTATTCCTATAAATTGAAAATGCCTTGAGTACAAATGTGGAAAAATTGGGAACCGATATATATATCTTTGTCTTTTAATTAGCATAGTTACCCGGCCACCTGTCGACTGCAAGAGAATGTCGTTCGTGCCTTCTATAATCTTGTTGAGCTGTTCCCGGGATGTTTTTTCTGCATACTGGTAAATCTCCTAATACGTATAAATAGCAATATTGTCAGATTATCCATTAAGAAATACGATAATTATACGTATTGCAATGTTGTATGTCCATTTCATAAACTAGAACAATATTTAAATTAAACTATTTAATAAGACTGATTTTCTCACCACCAAAATGTTGAAGAGCAACTCTGTGCATTTCCTATATTCCATACCGGAAGCTTCCAGGACTTGAAGGACAGCATCCCATTCTGTGTTAAACAGTTTATGGTACTGCTGTCCAACCTTTTCTTTATCATTTGTCACTTGTTCATCACCCTTTCTAATAAACCAAGATTAATAATGTCAATTTCAGAAGAGCAGATCAAATACAAACAATTCCTTTTAATGTGACTTCTTATAGTATATAATATATTAATTGATTACACGAGTGTGTTCTGGTTTCGTCATCACCGTTCGCCATATTCTATTGCATGAAGATCAGATTGTTGAGATTATCGATCTAATGCACCAAGACTGTTACATATGAAGCCTTTTCTAAATTCAATAATATGATACCTGTTTCTCGAGGTAGTGAACACATCGCCTCGTGACCCGGATGTATTTGGCGTTGCCACGCCCAAACGCCGACGATACAGATGCGCCTCAGCACTTCGGTAGTCAAGCTCCTTGTTGAGACGGCTGATCTCCTTGTGCAGAGCCTCAGTGTTATCAGAAAGGTCTTGACCTGGCCTCAATAACAACTTACTTGGCTTGGTCCGAGTGGCGATCAAGTCCGGTGTCCCAGCCCATATCGCTTCCCTGTATTGACATACGGATGTCTTGTTAAATTGATTCAAAATAGGACGTTTTTGTCGGATTTGATCTCTAGGCACGTGATTTTCAGCACTTAAAAAACCTTGGAATTACATGTCATGTCCGGAAAGTCTTAGAACATGACATTAATGAAAGTCTCTGAATTTAGAAGCTTTAGGTTTTCAAATTAAACACAAAATGTTATAACTTTTCTTTAAGTATTCATAAAAAACATCTACACAGCGACCGACCAAACGTGAGGTATATTTATTTTGTTTTTAATGTTGCGATTGTTACGTGCAATTACACCACAAAAAATATAGTGATTATCTCCCTTGAAAGCAGAAATACATACTTTGATCAATGTCCCTAAAGGTCTTTAAGTTAGAAAGTCTTGACATCTACAACACGTGATATCACAATTTCTAATTATTGATGTCATTAAATTAATAATTGATATCACTAATTCAAATTAATCATTTAACTAAAGGTCCCGAATAATTGATATCTTTAACTCTAATTGTTGATATCATTGATTCGAATTGGTGATATCAATAAATGAATAATAATTACCAGAGATTCGAATCAATTACATGACTAAATCGAGTAATGAAATCAACAGTTAAGAATATTTAACGATATCAATAATTCATTAAATGATATGAATGATAAGAATTAGCGATATCACTGAATTAATAATGTCAATGAATGTTTATCGATATAACTTTATCGAATTCTTGATTTAGAAGATTTCAGAAGATAGAAACGATATGAAATCCGATGTCTCCGAGGATATCTGATTTACTGTCACGTTTGAAGGTCTAACGGAGACTACATTATACTCGTTTCCTCTCTCCTGGATTCAGCGAATACAGTTCCTGGTGACCTGTGGCAACAAGTTTGGAGACTTCATAAATTCATTGATGCTGCGGCACAAATATGTCTGTATATAGGTGGCCGCGATTCTCCAGTAATTTGTCAATTTATGAAAGTTGAGTTTGCAAATAAGGGATAGGATGCTTTTCATGCTGGTAATAGTTTACATCAGAAATATTTATGATACTGCAAGCTCATTGCATTTAAAACTTTTCAATTCTAAGCAAAAGTTGTGACCGAAGAACTACAATTCCGTTATCTGGCGCTTGTTCTGCATCTGCATGTACATGTAACTATGGTCTAACTGGGTACATAGTAACTGGTGACTTAAGCAATTTCCAAAATGTTAAGCTGCTAGTACTTTTAATGGAGGTCCTAAATATCGTGAAACCAAGCTCACTACGCGGAATTTTAAAACATTTATGGATTCTGTTGAATAAAAGTGGCATGACAGGTATGTTATTGTACCGGAATGTGTCCAATAACGTGATCCTTGTCTGCAGGCATCGCTGTATACAAAAAAGAACTGGGTTTGGAAACATAACCTATACATTAATGCTTTCGTTCCAATGAAATAATACTAACTAATATGTCAATATTAAAATAATTTAGATTGTCTGTAAGTAAACACGGACCTCGCTTATTTACATTTCTAAAGTTTATTAGAATCTATACAAACATCAATTTTATTGCTGGCTCGTCCATCTGTTCAACCAAACCTTTCTCAAAACTACTAACCACCCTTCTTAGTACTATCAAATCTGGGTTACAGTCTTATTGTGATAATGCTTATTCAACAAGTGGAATTAATAGTATGTGGATTTTAAAGAACTGTGAAGGGCCGCTGACCAATCTCCATCCTTTTCTTAAAAAAGATCTCATATAAGAACATTTTATTTCTCCACTCTGTACATTACCATGCCATATTCTAGACTGAAGGAACGCCTTCTCCAAGAAAGGTGAACGGCGGTATAAATATATGGTTGTGGCCTGCACTGAAGTGTATTTCCAACAACAAAACCACTATGGAAAGCTTGATTATTCCATTTCCGGATAGTAACACCCTGCAACCCCGACTTATAGCGTTTACTTTTTTGCAGTTGATTCGATATATAAGGGTCTGTTCTCAGCGTCACGATATTTGTGCTAAAGGTCATCAACTGGCAGACACACTCACCACACAGGACTCCGAGAGATGCAGGTTGGTGATAATTATGAGAAAGATTTACGGTCGCCATTTTGAACTCATTGACAAATATCATGTTTCTGTGTGCGATATGAAGCTGGACGTGTTTGATGCTTGTTTGTTTTCCTGTTGGTCTATTTGTTTTACACCCAGTTCTTATTTGAGAACGTGGCATTGCTTGGATTGACCACGATTAACATGTCAATTGTCATTGATAATGCAAAAATTCTTACTCTTCTGAAGCACAGGGTCTTATTGTACTTTTTCTGGAGCCTCCGTGTAAATAATCTTACATATTTCCCCTGGTTTTATTGAATTAATGTTTGGATTATGTTTATGTTGACATGTTTGTATTTTCTTGTTGTTTTTTAACATTCTAGATTGTATATACAGATGTTTTGTGTATCCACCTTGCCATCTATTCCATGCCAACAAAACTTGACGATGAGGCCCTCTGGGAACACTGAACAGCAGCCGGCTGTTTCATTTCGATCGATTTAAAGAAGATGTGATTCAATATATGTAAATTAAAAAAAACAGCTAATGAATTTTTATTTTAAGAGTGGTTTCAACTTGCAAAACTGCTTACGGTGATGTCACGCGATAGAATCCCAAGGGGGCCAATTACTATTCGATAACAGTGTGTACAGTTACACGAGACGTACATAGTTTTAACAAGCCTTATTCCGTAGGTTTTAACCGTAGCAATGTTGTCTGCTTTTGTATGATAATTCAAGGTATCAAAGTAAAAAATTAAGTAAGAATTCTATTCGGCCATCCTATATATTCACGGACACGCCTAATTATCTACAAATACATTTACACGGTTTCCAAGTTTGAACCATGACTCCCATTTCTGATGGTTTTCGCCAAAAGAGAAATATGTGTGATTTTAAGAAAGGCTTGCACTTGCTATTCACATGAAGTCTATTAATTCTATCCTGAATAATATCAGCCCTTATAATAGTTTTTCCGATTCTTAACTTTTGGTACTTAGTTGTTAATCGTCGGTGCAATGATTAAACAACAAATTGTAGATGTATGTAGACGACTGCCGACGTTAATCCGACATGTATCACCTATCCCAGTACGGAATGTAATAGCAACGTAGTAGGGTCGCCATTGCGCGTTGTAGAGTAAGCAAAGCTTGATCATCCTAGCACAGTGTATCGTGCCCGCACAGTCGAAGTGTCGTACATAATCACACTTATTTATTTGTAGCGAGGTCGGTAGGATTGCGCTTTTACGACTTTTAACATAATATTGACGTCATTACGATAATGAGGACTCCTATTGTTCTTCAGCGTTGTCAGCGCTTTTATTTACACTGCAGCTTACGTCTTTCATTTGCCTTCAGTAAGTCAGTCAGTTCAAACGTTCGTAGACCTTGCAATAGCTTTAATGAACAGAAGACGTGAACTTGGTAGTTGTGACCTTGGTATTTATGACCTTGGTAACTGATTGTGTTTTATCATCCAAAGCGAGGAAGAAATTTGTGGCGGAGATCTGGAAACCTTGGTCATGACCTTGGCAGATAATTATGTTTTCACATCCGAAGCGAGGAAGAAATTTGAGGCGGAGGTCTGGAAACCTTGATCTTTGTATGAACAAAATAAGACGTATATCCTACATAGCTTTAGGAGAAACAGTCCAAAATTAAAATGTACTCAAGTTGCCTATGTATGAGGTGTCTTTTATACAGAGGTTCAATTTCTATCAATGGTACTGCCATTGGGAACTTGGTGAAGTGACCTGTATTGACAGGTGCTTGTTATAAAGATGGAGAAGGTGGGGTTGATAGATACTTTTACATACCAATCTGTTACTCTTGCGTTGGTCATCGGTGACAATTCCCGAGGAGTTACGAATGGATTGGGCGTTGTCTCTTGTTTCATGACAGGTACTGTTGGAGGAAGGTATTCTCGGTATTGGCGGTTTTGATCCTGGTATCCCGACTTCTCCAGGGCAAGTTTCAGTTTTGTGTTTTCTTTTCTCAGTTTCTGGCAGTTCGAGCACGGCGGGAATGTGGTTCGTTCTAAAACAACTGCTCTATGCTGACAAATAATGAAAATCTAGAATCAAACCTTCTATATCCAAAATGATAAATCAAAATACATGACAAATGCCATGTACCCTATCAAAGTTAGCCATCTTACGTGGTTCAACAGGGACTGTGCAAAACGTATACTATAGGGACTTGTAACAATCGTACACATGACTGGTTGTTACCGTATCATACAGATGCTTGTGCTCGTTAATTAATTAGATATTTTACAAAAACGATTGATAATTATATAGAATGATTTAACAAAGCATTAATGGAATCACAATAAGGTGAGGACCTATCTTAATAAGTGAATCACAATAAGACGAGGACCTATCTTAATAAGTGAATCACAATAAGGTGAGGACCTATCTTAATAAGTGAACCGACCAAGAAACCTTTTTAGCTACTTATATTGGAGTTGATGTACTCAGTCTTCACGCAGTTTTATTAAAATTTGATTTCATTTATATATATATATTCTTTCAGCAGAAATACTTACCTGATCGCGGGGACTTGCCACGAGTTTATTGAATTGCATACTGCACTTTTTGGTTACCGGAAGTGGATTGCTGCAAATATGAATTTCCGGTTGATAAAATTATCATATGTTACGAACTATTTGAGAATATTTAAAGGTATAATATATTTTCACTCCAGATAGTAATTATTGACAAATTAAATTTTATTTTGAAACAGAATGGTAGAATATTGGAAGTAAATAAACGTATCACAATTGAACATTTTCCCGGCATTTTTCAGTGTTACCTTCACAGATTGTCTGCACTATACTTGGGGATATGTTCGTGTCCCTGTGTGACATTAGTCCGTGACAAAACCGCATTATATACCTGTATACACTAAGTAAATGTCGGTATGATTAGCTGAACTACTTTAAGTTGAAATGCCAATACAGCCATGGCTCATTTAACTTAAAGATTCCATTAGAAGTGCCCGGACCATCTATGAAAAACGTCGATTTTTTTTCTGTCGCGAAATAGAATGGCTGCCTTTTGTTTTGAACACTGTATATAATATCTTTGCCTCCATTTAAACAAAAAAAATGTGAGCACTTCTCATATCACAGCCATTGAAAAATAACATACATGTTTCTGTCTTAATGCATTGTAGAATTTTCCGAAATTTGTACATTTAACATTTTGGCAACAGCATAAGCATATAGGAGATATTAAATCATTCATCGGTATTCAATTCATAATTGTAATGGGGTGTATTTTTTATACCATGATTAAAACATTTGTCCAACAATTTTAAACCATGACTTTAATTCTACCATTCTTTTTTGGATAGGACAAATTTTAATCACCGACTACCAAACGATGTGTCTTGAATAAGTCTCTTGTGTCCACGGGGTGTGAACCCAGTGTTCCATATCAATAATTAACAAACTAAAACGTAAAGGCGTCAAAGTGTCTTCTTCCGTAGAATCGACATGAAATATTCAGTATTTACAACATATCCTGGTAACCCACAGGCATCGAGTAAACGTCAGTTCACAAACCGTATACATATTTATCTCATATAGTCTTTTCTCCGTTGCTAAGATACATATTGGATACATATTTCATTATCATTAATGATGAACTACTTACATCAAAGACTAGAGGTCGACGATTTTTTGTAACTTATCGTATTCTATACAATGAATTACAATGGAAGCATATAAACAATACTTTTGCACAGTTCCAATCAGATAACAGAATCACACAAATATCAGCTATATATTTATTGATATATCTAACGATGCAAATATATACATACACACACAGTAGGCATACATACACATGCACACATACCCTCACGTACACATACACACACACACAAACGAACACCACAACCACACACGTCACCACACACCACGTGTGTGAGGGAGGGCTTGTGTGTGAGTGTGTGTGATGGGGATGTGAGGGTGTGTGAGGGTAGGATGGTGTGCGTGTGATGGGGTGAGAGTGTGTGGCTGTGTGAGTGGGTGTGGGTGTGGGTGGGATGGCATGTGAGCGTGTGTGATGGTAAATGAGGGTGTGTGAGGGGTGAGAGTGTGTGGCTGTGTGAGTGGGTGTGGGTGTGGGTGGGATGGCATGTGGGCGTGTGTGATGGTGAATGAGGGTGTGTGAGGGCGTGTTGTGATGTGTGTGCGTGAGGTGATTTACTAAAGATATTAAAATGATAAACAGAATGTTAAACGCCACAGAACATCAAATTGAACCTTAAAAAACGAAAAAAAATCGTGCTCACTAATGAGTCAGTAAATGAATATTTCTGCAGTCTACATATACATCTTTATGTATGTTTCATTAGTGGTACCAAGTATCGGACCATCTACGATAGTAATATAAAAACAATCTTACTGAAAGTATTGGAAAGAAAGGTGTATATGGAAATATTTGATGTCATATTCTTATGTTTTAATGTGAACACAAAACTTACCTGACCAAAGAAATAAGTCCTAAAGCGGTCCTCCTTGATTAGAGATTCGTTATTATACATGTCATCAATGTCATATCGCTACTTAAAGGTCCTACACAAACAGTCAACACCCGAGAATTATCAAGTTACCTGTGTGGGTTGACTACTAACAAAAATATTGACATTTAAATTTCCTGTCCTATAGACTAAGAGTATCAATAATATTGTAACCATTTCAGTCAGTAAAAGGAATCGAATTAGTGTTTGAAAGATTACCGTATTTACGTAACCATTAAAGTTAAAAGTTGTTTTAGGTGTCGTTCTTTATCCACTTCGCTGTCGAGAATACAAACACAAACTACTCTCAGAATACACATAAAAACTTTGTGTACTGGAAAATACGTGGTGGAATTATAAAATACTTAATCCTCTAATATCATACCTCAACGTCAATAAGTTTGATAAAATATGTAGAGGTATGAACAAGTTATGTGAATAGCGTAGGGAAGTATACATCCTTATTGACGAGTGAATGGTGTATGGAAGTATACATCCTTATTGACGAGTGAATGGTGTAGGGAAGTATACATCCTTATTGACGTGTGAATGGTGTAGGGAAGTATACATCCTTATTGACGAGTGAATGGTTTAGGGAAGTATCCATCCTTATTGACGAGTGAATGGTGTAGGGAAGTATACATCCTTATTGACGAGTGAATGGTGTTGGGAAGTATACATCCTTATTGACGAGTGAATGGTGTATGGAAGTATACATCCTTATTGACGAGTGAATGGTGTATGGAAGTATACATCCTTATTGACGAGTGAATGGTGTATGGAAGTGAATATTGACGAGTGAATGGTGTATTCCTTATTGACGAGTGAATGGTGTATGGAAGTATACATCCTTATTGACGAGTGAATGGTGTATGGAAGTATACATCCTTATTGACGAGTCGAATGAATGGTGTATGGAAGTATACATCCTTATTGACGATTGAACGGTGTATGGAAGTATACATCCTTATTGACGAGTGAATGGTGTATGGAAGTATACATTGACCTTATTGACGAGTGAATGGTGTATGGAAGTATACATCCTTATTGACGAGTGAATGGTGTATGGAAGTATACATCCTTATTGACGAGTGAATGGTGTATGGAAGTATACATCCTTATTGACGAGTGAATGGTGTAGGGAAGTATACATCCTTATTGACGAGTGAATGGTGTAGGGAAGTATACATCCTTATTGACGAGTGAATGTGTTGGGAAGTATACATCCTTATTGACGAGTGAATGGTGTAGGGAAATAGTGTCCTTATTGACGAGTGAACGGTGTAGGGAAGAATACATCCTTATTGACGAGTGAATGGTGTAGGGAAGTATACATCCTTATTGACGAGTGAATGGTGTAGGGAAGTAGAGTCCTTATTGACGAGTGAACGGTGTAGGGAAGTATACATCCTTATTGACGAGTGAATGGTGTAGGGAAGTATACATCCTTATTGACGAGTGAATGGTGTAGGGAAGTTTACATCCTTATTGACGAGTGAATGGTGTAGAGAAGTATAGATCCTTATTGACGAGTGAATGGTGTAGGGAAGTAGAGTCCTTATTGACGAGTGAATGGTGTAGGGAAGTATACATCCTTATTGACGAGTGAATGGTGTAGGGAAGTATACATCCTTATTGACGAGTGAATGGTGTAGGAAAGTTTACATCCTTATTGACGAGTGAATGGTGTAGGGAAGTATACATCCTTATTGACGAGTGAATGGTGTAGGGAAGTAGAGTCCTTATTGACGAGTGAATGGTGTAGGGAAATAGTGTCCTTATTGACGAGTGAACGGTGTAGGGAAGAATACATCCTTATTGAATGGTGTAGGGAAGTATACATCCTTATTGACGAGTGAATGGTGTAGGGAAGTAGAATCCTTATTGATGAGTGAATGGTGTAGGAAAGTAGAGTCCTTATTGACGATTGAACGGTGTATGGAAGTATACATCCTTATTGACGAGTGAATGGTGTAGGGAAGTAGAATCCTTATTGACGAGTAAATGGTGTAGGGAAGTATACATCCTTATTGACGAGTGAATGGTGTAGGAAAGTATACATCCTTATTGACGAGTGAACGGTGTAGGGAAGTATACATCCTTATTGACGAGTGAATGGTGTATGGAAGTATACATCCTTATTGACGAGTGAATGGTGTAGGGAAGTATACATCCTTATTGACGAGTGAATGGTGTAGGGAAGTATACATCCTTATTGACGAGTGAATGGTGTAGGGAAGTAGAGTCCTTATTGACGAGTGAACGGTGTAGGGAAATAAATTATTTTACATACATGGGTATTTTTTGCTTTTATTGATGAAACACAGTTGATTGTAAAACCATTAAGGCCTGGGACGGCGAGGCGGAGAAGGGGGTATGCGGGAGAGAAGAAATGATTGAATGGGATAATTTTAAAATGCAAATATAATTTTTAAAATGTACTTTATATGGATATATATATATGAAGATGGCCGCTAGGCCTGAAAACGTTAGTTGAATACATTTGTCGTGTTGATTTTATTCTTTTCAAATATATACATATATATATGCAGGTCATGCAGTGTCTCTCTATTTATGCAAACGGGACTAGTGCAGTTCTCAGTTCGAATCATTCAAATTTTATCCTCCTTGTCATTCCGACTTTTCTGGTATTTCTGTTTATACCAGGAAGGTCCAAACATATATTAAACATATACTATATATATTTAATCTTTTATATTATTATATTTTTAAGTTAACTTAGATAATCGTACAAAGAAAGTCTTTCATTCGGAAGGAGGAAAGAGACGAAGAGGATAGAAAAGGGTGTGAGTTGGAGTCTGTTTGTATCATTGATATATTGCTGAGTATTGCAAGGCTATACATTACACTGTCTTTTCTGAGAGTGGATTATCTCCAAACAGAAGTAAATGCAAGTTGAGAGGCGAATATTTATCAAGTTTACGATAGAGCTCAATTCGTCATCCAACGTAATTATCACTGTTAAATAAATCGTTTAGTAACACACGCAGTCGCTTCGGAGTTTTCATACCCTTAGGATTCTGACATTCTCACATG